GGTGGGACAAAGCCAGGTGAGGAAGAGGAGGGTGAGGTGCAAAGCAGCAGCAGGATCAATGCCTCCTTCCCTGCTGATGCCAAGCCCTGGCACAGTGCAGCAGCACCAGGAGGAGCACTCAGCTGCCATCTGAAGCCTGGGCTCAACACCTGCAGTCTATGCCCAGAAGGTGCCACCACATCGGTGCTGGCCCTGCTTGAGGTTTCACTGCCCGTGGGGACACCCAAAAACTCTGGTGTGCTCAGGAAGGTGCAGTCAGGTATTGAGAGAGGTCCTGGCCTTGCACAAGTTCAAGTTTAGGGCAGAGCTGCTCAGCCCCATGCTTTGTTAAGGTTTGGGAAAAGCCAACCAGCGTGGCAGGACCTGCAACCGCACATGGCAGCAAAGAGAGGTTGTGGATGAGAAGCAAGAGACCATCTCCCTGCTCAGCCTTGGAAACTTGACAGGCAAGGGGCAGATGCATCGAGAAACATCCCCTTGCAGGCCCTCCCTCCATGGCAGTGAGGAGGATGAGACAAGGTGTCCCCTTCCCTCCACCCCTGCACGCACTGCTGTGGGACAGGTAATCTCCTAGTTGGCACAGAACTAACTTGGGGACTGTGGCAAAGCAAAGCAGAGTTTACAGGGGGAGTTTTTGGATGCACACTGGTGCCTGAGGGGTCACAGGACATGCTGAGAGAGGAATTGCTGTAAGGACTTGCAAGGACAGTTTAGGAACTTCCAAATTTAGACAGCTGCACAAAGACAACCAGAGGGAAAAGACATCCAAAGATGTGGGTCACTCCAATAAACAACCTGGTGATTAACAGCAGCCCCCAGGCAAACTGTAATGGCTGGAGGGGATCAACTACCTCTGAGGGCTGGGCAGTGCCTTCAGCTGCCTGTTCCACCCTCCCAGCCAAGGAGAGGGCACCAAGCTGCACTACCCCAGCCCTTGCTGCTGGCGTGGAACCCCAGCCATGGGGGGCTCACAGCCCCCACCCAGGAGCTGAATTTCTGCACTTCTGCAATGGGGGAAAAATCCAGTTTTAATCTGAACCATAAAACCTGTCAGTAGCTACTGCATTGAGCACTCCAGTTCCCTTTTCCCTAACACGTCTTTCAGTCTTGGATAGCAGGGGCGTACCAGAGCACCTAAGGATGGTGCTCAAATAAAGGCACCAAACCCCAGCCAAGGGACAGGTTGAAAGATGGCACTGGGGCTCAATGCATTAGGGCTGGTCTCAGTACCAACCCTGCACAGGGCAGGGCTCTCATTTCAGCTTTTATGTGCTTTTTGCAAGGAGATCAGAGTGAGGACATTGGCTGCATCCTCATAACTTTCTCAATACAAGCTGAGGACAGGGAAAAATAAAAATAAAAATCCAACCCCCCTTCCAGTCCAAGCCATCTGCTCCCAAACACGCTCTACGCTCTCCCTAACACGTTTCTCCTTTCCTGTGGGAACAGCAGCAGGTGAGGGGGAAGGCAGCCACAGAACAAGCCCTCCCTCACGTGAGGAGGGAGCACATCCCCTCACATCTGCATGCTGAGCCCAGCCCAGCCTGTCCGGGGGCACCTTCTCACCGGCAGGGATGGCACTCGTGGCTGCTCCGAGTCCTGCCCTGACTCACCCCAGGCTGCTCCAGCAAGCCAACAAACCAGCTGGGCAAGGCCATTTCAGCACATGGACAACCAGGCATTCCAGGGTGATGCGTGACACAGTGGTGACAAAGCCACAGGGCCCCCAGGTGAGGAGTACCCCTATGCCCCTCACGCAGGGCACACAGGCCGCCTCTGCTTTCATGTGCAGCTCCACCACACCCCGTGTCCAAAACCACCCTGTGACCACAGACACTTCTGTCCTGCTTCAGTACTTGGGGAAGGATGAGGACAGACCCCAGGCGAGCCATTTAAGCTCCCAAGTGAAAAGTGATCTCTGCAGTGGACTCGTATCCGTGAGAAAAGCAGCGTTTTGCTCTGACTCTGGTGTAACACCAGGGCTCACAGCACAGGGACCGGAGCAGCCCCTCCCTGAACCTGGGAGAAGGAGCCAATGCTGAGAGCAGAGGGCATTCAGGGAAAAAGCAGGATTTTTGGTTCCTAGGTGAGGTCCTCCAGCTGTCCAGAGCAGCTGTGAGGCTCCAAGAAAGGCATCTTCCCTCCACAACTAGAGATTTGGGGAGGGGTGAAAGCTGGGAAGGAGGACAACACTGGAAGCCCAGAAGAGCCTTCTCCCTGCCAAAATACTGGTAGGAAGGCTTAACTTGTGGATGGCCAGGAAGTAGCAAAAGGTAAGTCCAGCCCAGTTACAATATCCAGCCACAGGACACAAACAACACTCCCTGCTTTTCACAGGGAACGCTTGGCTGATGCTCCTGGAGACTGATACACTCCATAGCTACAGCACAAACATAGGAAGGAACACAGGTGACACCTGGACCTCACATTTCTCCTCAAAATGCCATTTTTCTGTCACTGTAAGTTCCATACCCAGTGCCCTCACAGCTCTGTGCAGCATCGGGGCATTGCTCACTCCTCTTCCTGCAACAGGGAGTAACAACCACCTCTGCTCCCACGGAGCAGGTTTATTTTCCCAGCAATTTAAAGAAAGGACATTGCTGAGGCCTTGCTATGCACCACAGGAACTGCAGGGGCTAATTTAAGATGTGCCCAATTTAGAACAAGGTGCCAAGCTCCAAGGCTGTGCTGAGAAGTGACCCTTCTGCTCAGGGATCCTGGAAAAAGATGGACAGAAGCATTTATAATGCTTTAAGACAGACACAGCTCCTACTGCATCCAAGGCTCTCAGATACCAGAGAGCAGGCAGAGGCTGCTTACAGCTCACAAAAGCCCATAGAAAAAGGGCTTTTCACCTCTCAGTTGTGTGCTGGTCCAACAGCCAGATGCCCATGGAGAAGAGAGGAATCCCCCCAATCCCTTTTCTAGAGGCTGGGTAAGAGCAGCAAAACTACAGAGCTTCATTTAGAGAGCTTTTCTCCTAAGGGTGTGCCTTCCCAGAGCTGGAAGGACAATGCATTTCATACTCATCCCAAAAAAACTGGCTGGTTACAACTGCTTCCACACAGCAGAGTAAAAGCAGCTCAACAAGACAGAGAGGGCCAAGGGCTCCCTCCCCACTAAGGTCAGGGACCTGAGCTCCACATGAGGTGTCCCCACCACAAGAGCAGCCCAAAACACCCTCCATTTCACACCAGCACCAGCAAATTGTGCTTTCTGGACTGACCAAACAAGTTGTAGATGATACAACACTTGTTTTAAATTGGGATGTGGGCTCTGGGAGGGGATGAGGAAGAGCACAACATGTTTACAAGCAGATTTACAAACAGAACCTCTACATAACATAAAACTGCTGCAGTTTTGGGGCAGCATTAGGCACGTGTCAAAGAGGAGGCCAGGCACGAGCTGTTCCCAAAATCCCAGAGCCTCGGCTCAGGGACGGTCTCTGTCAGGGCAGAGGAGCAGCATGCCCTGTCAGCACATCCCAGCTGTGCCAGACACACGGGGGCTTCCACTGCCAGGGCTTGTCAGCAGCATCAGCACATCAAATTCACTGGGATATCAAAGCCACTCCAGCTGATTATCCTAAAGGTGCGTCGCTTCCCAGGAGCAACAGAGGCAGAGACTATCAGAGCACATATTACTGTGAAACAACAGTATGTGACCTAATTCTCTAATTAGGAATGGGCTCAATTGCCCACGGAGAGTGAAAATATTAGATCACTGAGATTTCTTTTTCCAGCAAAAAGATGCTGGTATTTTGTTGTTATAAAATAGCAGGTTCCAAGACAAAGCTTTGATAGGCACAGCCACAATCCCTGTTCTTTGGAGTGTATGTATATACCAGACACCCCACCACACACTCACTTCGCTCACTCCTTACTCCTGCTTCAAGCCCAGTTTGATCAGGAGACAATTTCCAACTGTGACACTTCACGTAAAACAAGCCCCCTGTTACACTCTGCTTGGCAAACCCCAACCCCACAGAGCAGCTCCACAGCTCCCAGCTGAGGCACAAACTCTCTTCAGGGAAGCTCTACAGCTCCCAGCACCTCCTCGAAGGCAAACCACACCAGCCCAGGCAGACACCCGAGGAGATGAACAATCCCGCAGCCCTCTCCTTCCAGAACTGCTGCTCCCATTTCACAGGCAGCCCGACTCCTGAGTCACCAGCTCCCCGTGAATCTCCGTGGAGCAGGTGCGTGTTTGCATCAGCTCCTGGGGAGCCGGTGGTGGCTGCGAGGAGCGGCTCCGAATTCGGCCGAAGGGGAGCATCGGGAGCTCCCGATTCCCTCGGATTCCTGCTGCCGGGCGAACCTCAGCACCACCTGCTCCTGACGCAGGGTCTGAGCCCTCGGGGAGGTCACTGCGCACGGAGCGGGGAAAGGATGACAGATTGAACCCGCCGGCAGGACCCGCACCCCGCCAGGCCGAGCTCCGCCGGGACCGCAGGAAACCGCGGCACTCCTTGGCTCTTAATGACGGTCTTGTGACACCGTAGTTAATGGTCTGTCATGGGCTCCATCGGGAGCCTCGACGCCGGCAGGAGGCGGATCGGCCAACCCAGCCCTGCCGGCACGGCCACCGAGCCGGAGCGGCTCCGGGCAGGGATCGGCTCCTGTTCTTTTGTTACAGCTCCTGCTTCCCCTGGGAACGGCTCGGTCCGTGTGGGCACCGGGAGGGCGCGGGCAGCGCTCCCCTGGGGAAGGGTCCGGCTGCGCATCCAGGGATTACATCACCCCGGCCCCTCTGCCCACGTCCCCCTCCAGATTTGGGGCGTTTTAAGGAGCTGCCGAGGCCTCCCCGCTGCCCGCCACGCGCGTGAAGAAAAAAAAAAAACAAAGGAAAAAGCAAAACAACCCCTCCCTGCCTGTCTGTCAGCCCGGCGGGGGGCACGGCCCCGGGGAGGGGGTACAGCGGGCGGGGGGGGTGACAGCGGTGGGGGTGACAGCGACAGGGGTGACAGCGGCGGGGGTCCCGCGGCCCCCCAGCCCCCTTACCGTTGCTGTAGGCGTACGGGGACTCGGAGGCGCCGTCCTGCAGGCTCTCCAGGATCTCGCCCTTGCCCACGTCGCTGTCGCCCACGAGCAGGAACTTGAGCAGGTAATCGTAGCTCTTCACGGGGCTGCCCTGGGTGCCCATCCTGCCTCTCAGGGCCGGCGCGGCCCGGCCCGCATCCTCCGCCCGCCGGCCTGGGCTGCGGCCTCTGCCCCGCGCCGCTCACCGCCGGCCGCGCATCTTCCGCCGGGGCCGCGCTGGGACCTGCGGCGGAGGAGGAGGACGAGGAGGAGGAGGCGGAGGAAGGGCCTGGCCCGGCCCCGCAGCGCCCCCGCCGCTGACACGGCCCCGCTCCGCCCTCTCGCCCGCCCGCACAAAGCGCCGCCGCCCCGCCGGGCCCCGCGGCCCGAGCCCGCCCCGCCCCGCCGGGTCAGCCCCGCGCCGGCCCCGCCGCCCACCTGAGCCGGGCCGGGCCGGGCCGCCCCCGCCGCACGGCCCCCGCCCCGCCCCCGCCCGCCGCGCCCATTGGGCCAGACACGCGTCAGTCAGGAGGTGCCCCGCCCCCGCTCAGATGTCTCCGCTCCCATAGGCTCAGACACGCGTCAGTCACGGCCGGCCCCGCCCCGACGCTCCCTGGAGGGCTCGGGAGGGGCGGGGCCAGCAGGGGGCGGGCCGCGGCGGACTACAACTCCCGGCGTGCACTGCGGCGAGCGGGGCATGATGGGACGGGCGGGGGCAGCGCACGGTGGGGGGAGAGGGGGAACTGGGGGGATCCAGGGATTGGGGGGATCCAGGGATTGGGGGGATCCAGGGATTGGGGGGATCCAGGGATTGGGGGGCATCCGAGTGTCATCCGGGAAGGGCTGGCATCCAGATGTGTGTGGGAGCACCCAGCTGTGGGGAGGCATCCAGGTGGGTGGGCATCCACTTATGGGGGGCATCCAGGTTCGGGGTGGGCATCTAGGGGGGCACCCGGGTGTTGGGGGCACCCAGGTATGAAGAGGGCCCTGGTGTGGGGTTTGGGGGGGTTGGAGGTGTGTGCACCCCACTGCTGGGGGGCACCCAGTGAGGGCTGGCCTGGGCAGGTGACATCCAGCGTGTCCCCAGGGATGGTGCCAGCCATGGGGTGCCAGGCTGAGCCTGTCCCCAGGAAGGGCTGTGACACCAGTAACCACTCCTGGCCTTGCTCCGTCCAAATCCCTTGGCACTGGCCTGGCATCTGTGAGCAACCACTCCCAGGCCCGATCCCAGCAGATTCCTGGTGGGAAGGTGTGGAGGATCCTTTCCCTGCCCTAATTGCTGACAAGTCCCTGTGCCCAGCACAGCATCCTGCTCCTCTTTTCAGAGCTGCACATTCCATTAGTGATGTTCCCAGCCTGGCTGTTCCCAATGAATCCCATCTAAACTGCCCTGGGTCCCCCAGCCCAGGGAGCACCGGGGATGCCCCTCAGCCTGCAGGGAGGCTGAGGCCCCCCAGGCTCCTTCCCTCTGGTGAGTCAGCTCCTGCTCCTTCTGCTCCTCTTCCTCCTTCTGCTCTGCTCCCTGGCCTGTGCTCCTCATGTTGCAGCAGCAGCACTGAGACTTCTTGCTTTTATAAAATATTAATTGCTGCCCAAACCTGTCCTTTCCAGCGGGGCTGATTCCCTTTCCCCCCACAGGGATTGCTGTGCTGTTAACCAGCAGGCCAGGACAGCAGTGCCAAGGGTGTTGGGTACCCCCCACCAGTGACTCCTCTGGCAAAGATCCCCCAAAAGTGGGGCTGGCAATGCAGGATCTGTAAAATGGGCTGGAGTGGGGTGGGCTGAGAGCAGGCAAAGGGCAGCTGGCAAAGGCCAAGGGGCTCCACCAGCCTGGCCAGTCAGCCAAGGGTATGGCCCACCCTCAGTGTGATGGACTGGAAATGTGCAGGGCCTGGGCAGCAGTGAATCCATCAGTCCTCAGCTGGCTGAGACACAGCTCTGGGCACCAGGATGCCCATCTGAGCACCCACAGCATGGCAGGACCCCAGTGCCCCACAGCTCTGGGGACAAGGGCTCCTCCTGTGCCCCATCCCTGCTCCTCAGGGGCTCTGAACCTGCCCAGCCTGGGGAGGGCAGGATATGGAATCACAGACATGTTTCAGTTGGAAAGGACCTTAATACCATCTTAATCCAAACCCCTGCCATGGGCAGGGACACCTTCCACTAGCCCAGGTGAATCCAAGCCCCGTCCAGCCTGGCCTTGGACACTTCCAGGGATGGGGCAGCCACAGCTTCTCTGGGCAACCTGTGCCAGGGCCTCACCACCCTCACAGGGAAGAATTCCTTCCCAATATCCCATCCAACCCTGCCCTCTGGCAGTAGGAAGCCATTCCCCCGTGCCCTGCCCCTCCAGACCCTTGTCCCCAGTCCCTCTCCAGCTCTCCTGGAGCCCCTTTAGGCCCTGGAAGGGGCTCTGAGGTCTCCCTGGAGCCTTCTCTTCTCCAGGTGAACACCCCCAGCTCTCCCAGCCTGGCTCCAGAGCAGAGGGGCTCCAGCCCTCAGAGCATCTTCATGGCCTCCTCTGGACTCGTTCCAGAGCCCTTCCCTCGTGCTCACTGGGTGAGGGAAGATGGCAGAGCTCTGGGGTGGGGGCTGTGCCCCCCTTTAGTGGTGCCAGCCTGGCTCCCCCTCCTCTCCCACACCCTGAGGGCTTGAGCTCATGTGCTGCCTTGGAGCCACGTGGTGTGAACTCCTTTGGGGGTGTTCTGGTGAGGGGTTTGTATCCCCGTGGGCTGAGGGGATGCTCACACTCAGCACTGCTCAGTTTGGCTTCTGTACATGGCAGGGGCCAAACACAGCCCCCTCCATCCCCCCACCCACCTCCCAAACAGCCCAGCTCCCACAGCCACTGCTAAAGCAAAACAAAATGGCAGATAAAGCAAACCAAAATAGCAGATAGAGTTAATGGAAATAGCAGATGTCCTGCTGGAGTCTCTGCCACTCCCAGCCTCTGCTGATGGTGTTCCCCAGGGAGCAGGGGCTTGGAAGGTGAAGCCTGCAGGGAAACTCTCGCTCCAGGGCTCAGCCCTGGCAGGTGGAGCAGGGGAAGCAGAGAGGGGGGACCTGTGCATGCCTGGATTCCCCAGGAGGAGAGAAAAGCCACTCCTCTCATTTCTGTCCATCAGCCCATTGGCTCCAAAGCAGTGGAAGTGGAGAGGAGGAGGATGGGCAGGAACCTCCTTGATTTTATTTCTTTTTTCAGCCTCTGGTTCTCAGTCCTGCCACTCCAGAGGCCCCTGTTCATGCCTCAGTCAAGGGATTTCTCACCTCGCTGGGATAGTGGAAACCAAACTGGAGCTCAGACCAATGGGAATCATGGCAAGAGGGTGTGAGGCAGAGCTAGAGGGGTGATCCTGGCAGAGGATCCTGGCAGAGGGGGGATCCTGGCAGGTGGTGTGTGGGTACTTTGCCATGGCTGTGCACTCAACTGTATGAAAGGGGACAGGAATGGAAGGAGTGCTCTGGGGTGAGGAGGAGTGGTCACAAGGCCCCATCATTCCCATCCCAGCTTGGGCTCCTGCTCAGATTGGGCAGTGCTGCAGAGGTTTGTCCTCCCCATCCTGCCTCACACCAAACAGCACCACACCATAGGAACAGGCTCAGGGGAAACCCTCACTGACTTGTAGGAAATCCCAGAGCTGGAGGAGCATCACCTCAACCATGTCCAAGGCCTTAGCTGGGTCAGGGCTCCTCCTTCCATGGGCTTCACGGCCTTGGCAGAACAATTAGAGCTGGACCAGTGGTGAAATCCCTCTGTGTGGGAGAGCAGAGGATGAGCAACTGCCCAGCCAGGCCTCAGGAGGGGGATGAGCTGCCTGCCTGGGTAAGCTGAGCCTACAGCAGCCCCCCTGCCTGTCCCTGTGCTGTGGCAGCCACACAGTGCTTGTTAAACAAGAGGGAAGAGCTCGATTTTTCTCCCAACATCTTTATTATAGTGTAATCAAAATCCATTTAAGTTCTGATTAAAAGGTTTAACTAACCCAAAAACCCCCACACCTGTCAGCAGAACAGAGCTCTCCATCCCTAAACTCTCCCACAGAAGCACCTGTACCTGGTATGTGCAGAGCATCCCTGGTCCCACCTGTGCAGGGACCTGCTGCCACTGGCACTGCTGCCACTGGCATTGCCATCATCCTGCTGGCATTGCCATTGCTCTGCCCAGCACTTCTGCCTGCAGAAACAGAGCTGTCATGAGCCTAAAGCCAGTCTGATTCCTAAGGCAGGGCTTGTTCCCGGCCAGTCTGTGTTTCACATCATCAGGCTGCGTTTCACATCAGGGCTGTGGTGGGAAGGAAGTCACCTTAGCTGGGGTTAGTGGTGACATTTAAAGCAAACACTGTGTCACACTTTGCTCCTGCTGAACGTTCATGTGAGAGAAGGAGAAAATGTACCAGTGGTTTTTAAGCAGTGATCAAACTTCCTCTCAACCTTCACTCACAAATACACAGTTTCAATGAAACTGTCAGTCATTCAGTGCTCTTTCGTAACACTTGAAACCAGAAAACACTGTAAGGAGGAGGATTGATTCCAAGAGTTGTGAAGTTCTCACGAATTTCCCCAATGCCAGAGGTTAAATAACACTGTGGATGGGAGAGGTGCTGCTGCTTCTCCCTGCCCCGAGTGAGCACAGAGCAGGGCCCCAGCTCTGCTGCTCCCCCCGAGCAGCACAACCAGCACCTCCCCTGCCCCAGGAATGCAGGGAGTATATTCTGTCACCTCCAGCATCCAGCAGCACAGGGATCCTCTTGTATTTGGCTTGCTGAGACAGTAAATGGGGAGTTAGAGCATTCCTGGTTTGAGGCCTTGGCGTGGGTAAGGGCTGGAGGTGCCAGCTGGGAGTCAAAGGCAACAGACTTTTGCAGCAACTGCTAATGGAAAATGGTGAGCCAGATGCAAAGGTGATGGGCACACTGTTCTCATCCAGGAACAAAAATCAGCTGCCCATGTGAGGTTTGGATTGCTCTGAACATGTTTATCCTGCACTCAAAAGCTCCTGAGCCAGCTGGAAAGCCCCATGGCCTCCTGTCATGTGGGGGATCCAGACCCATCCCATCTGTGTTCAGAGCACACTCACCCTGCAGAGCCTCACGGCTGCACACAGAGCTGTTCCCAACACGTGGGCACTGCCAGGCTGGGGCTCTGCTCCCCAGCCCCCAGAGCTGCCCCTCTGTGCTCAGCACAGCAGCAGTGTGGCTGCACAGCACGTGCCCTCAGCGCAGAGCAGCTGGCGAGGAGCAGGTCAGGTACCTGAGTCAGTGCACAGGCACCCCAAAACCAGAGGGCTTAGACACTCCCCAAGAGGCAAAGGGGCTGCTGGGCAGTCCCTGAACGGGGGGAACAGGAACAGAGGCGGCACAGGGCTGCAAATGTTCTCAGTCACTGAAGAGATCTGAGTTATGGTGTCTCCAAGCTTGGCACAACAGGACAAAAGGCAATGGGCGTGAACTGAAACACATCAAACCCTGGCTGAAGAGCTTTTCACTCTGAGGGTGACCAAGCACTGCACGGGTTGTCCAGGGAGGTGGTGGAGTCGCCATCCTCGGAGATATCCCAAGGGCATGTGGGCACATGGACCACCAGCTTTGGGTGGCCCTGCATGAGCAGCGGGGCTGGACCAGATGATCCTGAGGCCCCTTCCAACCCCCACCAGTGGTTGCTGCAACCAGCAGGTCTAAGGACAAAGAGTAAATCCCTGAGGGCTTGAGTTAAGCAAGAAGATGGTGTTGGGGCAGCAGGATGAGGCAGTGCAGGCCAGAAGGAAAGCAGCTGGTTGTCTGCAGGATGACCATGCAGGAGATTCCCTGCCTTACACTCCTGAAAGTCAACCTACGGGTTATACACTCATGGAACCCTCTTTGTGTAGGCCTGAACGGGGCCCAGTCCAGCTGCAGGATCAGGGAAAACTCCCAAACCCATAACCAGAGCCTTCAGTGCATTGTAATCACTGAGGTTTCCTTTCAGCATCGTCACATGCTGTGCTGGTGAGGAAAGGAAAGGATTTCTCCAAGGCAGAATTTCTATCTAGGATGGAGTTTTGCACACAATGAATCACGTTTTCCCTCACAAACCGCCTGCCTAAGTAAAGAGGGAGTTTGTGCCAGCACTGGGAACCATAGGGTGGGAGAAATAATAATTAGAAAATGCAGTATTAAAAAAAATCTGCAAGATTAGAGCCTCCTTGTGCCTGCTCTAAGGGGTGTGTGGTAGGAATGGGAGATCTGAAACCTTTAACTACTTCTCATCCAAGGGCTGACATGGAAAATATGGATCTGAGGAAAAATCAGAGCCAGAACCTTACCAGCAGCCTCTTCCCTGAGGAAATGCCAGTGCTGGGCCAGTCTGTGCTGCTGTGGAAGATGATGCTGATCCCAACTTCTAATTAGAGGGATGACATAAGGTCAAGTGTTCCTGAGCAGGATGTCTGCTGAGTTGTTGTAATGTCTGTGCACAGAGTCGGAAAAGGGTGGGGGAAGCCTTGTTTCACAGCAGGGACTGGAAAGGAAGAGGAGAGACATGGCAAAGATCCAGCACAAGGAACTCAGATGCTCAGATACCACCACGGGAGAGGAGAGCGCCCAGGGGGAGGAGCAGTGGGGCAGCTGGGGCACCAGTTCTGGGTGACACAGGAGAACTGCACCCACAAGGAGCTGCCACTGCCCAGCTGGGCTGCTAAGGGTTCTCTGTGTCTCAGAAGATTCAGGATCTCAGGTTTGAGGAGCTTTCTCTCAGTTTAGTATTTCCCCATCCCCACAGTCAGTATCAGCCTTTAGTAAACAAACCCAACACTGGAACATCAAACACATCTGGCAGGTTCCCAAAAGGAAGGTCACATTTGCTGGTCTTCATGGCTCTGTGCTGTCTCTGGGGATTTCAGGTCACTTGATCCCAAAGGACAATCACAACTAAGACCATCATGAACTGTCTGGTCTCACAGGAAGATTTTAAAAGCCAGGAACATTATTTTCGTAAGACCAAAAACAATAAAGTTTCTCACAGCAGTGAGTGAACTGAACTGTGCAGGCCTGGGAGGAACCAGGGATATCATTTAGTAGCTCCAGTGGAAAGATGAGAGAGGGGTAACGTGTAAACCTGCTGTGCTGAGAGCCAGGTGAGGATGGGACTGCAGGACTGACTTCAGCTGAAGTGAGAAACATTACTCAGACCATTCATCCACTAAAGGCATCACTGCCTGGAGTTATTCCCACCTGCAGTGAGAAATACCTGGGCAGTGGTATTCCAAGAGAAGAAGATGCTGTATCTGTACAGGAGTTTTCAGCAGGGATCATCAAGGAGGAACCAGATCTCTCCAGTTTCTGCAGACAGGGATGTCCCACCCAGAGCCTGCAGTGGCAGATGCTGATGGGGGGCTTTTGCCATGCTGGCTTTCTTCAGTGAGGTGCCCTTCTTCCCTGGATGAGGTAACAGGACATCCTTTGGGAGCAGGGTCCATACAGCCCTTCCTCTCTTCATGATGTCCCTAAGAAACCTGGAAGGCCTTGGAGATTTGCCTGCTAAGGAATGTCTGGACCAGGCACCTGCCTGCAGAGCTTCCTTTCCTCCTGATCAGGCTGTGACTGGAGAGGCAGTGGCTGCACCGTGACGGGCTTTTAGCAGCTCCAGACAACCCAAATATATCTGGCCAGGGATGTCTTAAGGCAGGGGGGCCATAACCCTTCTCTTCTGTGACAGCCTCCAGCACATGGGGTAGGAAACTCTTATCCTGCCCCTGGAAGTGCTGAGTGAAGGCTCCCAAAGCCCACGGCACCTTGCCTTGCCTCCATAACTCCCGCTGGGATACGCAGGCAGCCCTCCAAGGAAGGGCTGAGTCACAGCACATCCTCCTCCTCCATCCTGGGTTCCTTGGACAGCCAGAGGAAATGGGGGCAGGTCCAGCACACCCCTCACCTGCCAGTTAACAGAGCCACTTTGGGTGTGCAAAGCAGGGTACAGGGACACTGCACCCTTGTTTGAGCTGGGCCACAGGAGCCAGCAGAGCTGGAGGAAGGATATTTTGGGTAAGGGCTGTGTGTAAATGCCTACACAACCACAGAGTATCCAGAGGGACACAACCCTCCCATGCACAGAGGCACTCTTTCCAAGACAGGGAACAGGAGACACATCAAAATGAGACCAGGACACGAAAAACAGAGCACTGCTGCACTGTGGAGGTGTACTCAAAGCAGGAAATCTCCCCTAAGAGAAATCATGGAATCACAGAACGGTTTGGGTTGGAAGGGACCTTAAAGCTCATCTCGTTCCACCCCCTGCCATGGGCAGGGACACCTTCCACTAGACCTATAGTTTCAGGGAAAGAAGTGGCTTTAAATGCCTCACAGCCAAGACTTTAAAAGTTCCTTGACTGCTAGGAAGTGCAAAATGAGGGACCCCTTGACGAGGGTCTCACCAGGGCCCTGGAAACAGGGGGTGTATGGGCCCTGTCAGGGGGTGCAGCACAGGCTGCCCTGAGCTCACTGAGCTGGGCAAGGAGCTGGGCTGAGCACCCCCAGCAGAGCTCTGGCCAGAGCTGGACTCAGCAGAGCTGTGAGAGCCTCACACTGGGACTGGAGAGCCCTGAGCCTTGGCAGAGCCCAGAGCTCTCTGTCCCCGGGCTCACAGCCACACACACCTGAGCAGTCCCAGAGTCACAGGATACTCTGAGCTGGAAGGGACCCACGAGCATCATGGGAGTCCAACTCGTTCCTGAATGCCCACACAGGGCACTGTTTGCTTTGGAAAACAATGTAGATGAGACCACACAAGCACCGTTTCTGTGCTGAACACCTCCTCTGGTGCTGCAGTGGGGCTGAATCCAAGCTCTCCCAAAGGGAAAAGAACAAATATCCTCTGAACCCAGACAAGCTGCTGCTCAGTTTTCAGTGTGTGACTTTACAAGACAATCCTCCACTTTGTGTTTGATCAGCTTGAAGGCTGAAGCACAAAAAGTCCAAAACACCCTCTAGCCAAGTGCACCTCAACATTGTGCCTCTGAACCTCCTCAGGGGCTGGCCCTGTGAGCCAGCACAGAAGGAGACATTCACCCCCAAACCATTCAGGAGCTGCTTCCTTGGTGACACGGAGGGCTGGTTTAGTGAGGCACTGACGGGTTTCACCTTTAGCTTCCAAAATAATCATTAGCATGTTATACAAACACAGTGTAAGGGAAGAGGAAAGTGGAAAAATAATGCTTAAAAACACTTGCCTTTAAAAATTCAGCCCCTCTCATGTTACCAAACTCTATTTAAAGGGATGTGGCAGTTGCTGGCTCCGAGAAGCCTTTGGTCCTAAAGCATTAGGATTCAGTATGTTTTTCTGGCCAAGATCTCCAGCTCTTTCACTGTCTTTACTCCTGCTTCTCTCCTTTGTGTTTCCAAGGGTAGATCAGCTCTCCAAGGAACAGCTTCTTGCAGAGAGATGCCCAGGAGTCCTTGGGGTAACAGCTGTAGGTGGGCAGCCTGTATGTCTGTACAACAGCACCATAGGAGAGAGGGTTGATCTGTAGGAGAAAGAGGGGCAGGAGAAAGGAAAACATGTGGTGAGAGGCTCAGGCAGCTGAGGAGGGCAAGTGCAGCTTCTGCACAGCACCAGCCTCTGCTAAAACATCAGTCCTGCTGCTCAAAAAGCATCAGAATCCCTCCCTGCCTTGGTAAGGCTGTTTGTCCTTCCACAACATCCCCAAACGTGACCAAATGGAGCTTGGTAAGGGATGTCATTGAAATCATCTCCAAGCAGAGAGGCAGCACAAGTGCTGGTGCAATGACAGTTACACATATCACACACAGGTTGGGACTGTCCCCTCCTGTGTGATGGGGTGGCAGTGGCTGCAGAGACAGTGATAGAATCACAGAGGCATAGAATTGTTTAGGTTGGAAAAGACCTTTAAGGTCATTGAGTCCAACCCTTAACCCAGCACCGCCCAGGCCACCACTAACCCATGTCCCCAAGTGCCACATCCACACAGCCTTTAAATCCCTCCAGGGATGGGGACTCCACCACTGCCCTGGGCAGCTGTGCCAGGGCCTGACCAGCCTTTTAGAGAAGAAATTTTCCTTATTATCTAATCTAAACTTACCTAATTATACCTCCCATGGATGGGGAATGCACTGGGTCTCTCAGGAACTCTTCTGGAATGGGCCAGTGAAGCCATACCTTACATGAGCCCTCAGCCTACAGCTGTGCTTTAAGTTAAACCTGATATCACCCAGTGGAACTGAGCCCAGGACAGCATCACACTCCAAAATAATTACCACTACTATTTTCCCCACTTTCCCCAATTTTACCTATTGGAAATTACCATTTTCAATTAAATCTCCTTGGCTAAGTTCATCTTTTTAAATTTGATTTCAATCACCATCCTAACCCGTGCCTACAAAAGCTCTGATTATGGTCACAAGTTGCTGTATTGACCTTTTGAAGAGGAGGGCAGACAGAGGCTTTAGCTGGATGAGGGGTGACAGAAGTACATCAGACCTTGGAAAAGCTCATCCCACTGCTTTCAGGGCAGGAGACAGGTGAAGTCCATAGGATGGATCCAGTGCAGCCAAGATCTCACATCTAAAGGCTGCAAAGCAATAGGTTGTCTTCAAAAGAGCAAAAAGCTTGCACAGAAATGGTGGGGCTCAGAAAACAGATCATGAGAGATGCCAAGGGAAGGGACTTACAAAGTTAGAGGAAGCTTGGACACTGGGAGAAGTGGAAGGACATCCTCTAGTGAAAGGGTCCAGCTCTGCTGGAACCAACCAAGCAGCTCCATGAAAGAGGACTCTCATTCACAGCAGAAAATCCAGCCACAAAAAGGAAAGAGAGACAGCAAAAACCACACAGAGAGTCACCACTTGGTCAAAAGTTTTGAATATTTCCACTGAGAAGTACCCAATTTTCTAGGACTGTGCCTGTACCACCAGCTTGCTTCAGCTTTCTGGTGCTCACAGAGCAAGGGAGTGAACTACAGGGATGGAGCTCTGGGAAAGGGTGATTGAGCAAAAGGTTCATTAGAATTAATCCTGGAGACCTTTGTCAAATTAGTTTCAAAGTACAACATTGCTGAAGCAGAAGGGGAAAATGCTAGTACACAGAAGCATCCCTAGGAAGTTTAGGAAAAAGGCCAGAGCTGCAGCTTGCAGGAAAAAAAAAAAAAAAAAGAAAAAAAGAAAAAAAAGAAAAAAAAAGCCAAAGAAACCTGCTCCCAGAACAAACAGCAGTAAAACCTGAGTAACTGTTTCTGCCCATTCCCTCCCTATAGGCAAACCAGTCTGTTCTAAGTGCAAACATGCTGGGGGAGGACAGGAACTGCTGCTCTGCAAGGGACAGACACAGTGTGTGTTCCTTTGACTACTGGCTCCGTGGGCTGGAAGGTTTGGACACAACACTTCTTGTTAAGAAGCATCTCCAGGCAGAGTGTGGATACCAACACTTCCCTACTAAAACATATCCAGGGATGGGGCTACACCCAGAGCAATACATTCCCTGCCTGTCCTGTTAAAAATGGAAACATGAGGCAAACCCCATGCATAAGTGAGGTGCCAACATGAGTTCCCCTTATGTAAATCCTGCAGTTCAAAGCTATGATATTCCCTGCTGGAATATCCATCCCTCCTCTCATAATGGAGCTGTTCCCTTTCCCTTCCTCTTCTGCTTAACCCTTTTCAAAGCAATTGCTGGGAAAGGTGACACTTCCAGCAGCAGGATGGATCAAACTCATCATGTCCTAGAATCATAAAATCAGAGAATTCAAGACTGGTTTGGGTGGGAGGGGACCTTAACACTCATCCAATTCCACCCCCTGCCATGGGCAGGGACACCTTCCACCAGCCCAGGTTGCTCCAAGCCCCGTCCAACCTGGCCTTGGACACTTCCAGGGATGGGGCAGCCACAGCTTCTCTGGGCAACCACCTCTCTGGGCTTCTCTCACCACCCTCACAGGGGAGAATTTCTTCCCAATATCCCATCCAAACCTGCCCTCCTTCAGCTTAAGGCCAGTCTTTCCCTGGGCTATCAGTTCAGTTGAGTCACACTGCCAGAATTATTTCTTCTTATGCATCCAAAAGAAATTATTTGAAATACTGATGAAAACACCGACCTATGTAAGAATTCCTGGAGAATATTAAGTAGCATTTGGAATGAAAATATCATTCCCTGCCCTCCATCCCCCCTGTGTCTGGACTTTGCATTCCAGTGGCACTATCTTAAAAATCAAAAATAATCACTTGGCTGAACCACAAGCTGGATGGGAATGCTCAGACCCAGAATTATTGATTCCTAATCCATTACCAGTGTCCCAAAGGACAGCTCTGAATGTATCACTCACCTACAGCTTCAATTATTTTGAGCATAGCTCCATGCAAACAGCCTTATTTCCATCAAGTAGAGCTCCAAGAGAGCTACAGGGAGAGGGGGCAAAGCCACTGTGAAAATTCTAGAAAGGCACATCACCTTGTACAATAAATAAGAATTTTAGCATGTCTTTAAAAATAAGTTTTTTAGATCGTCCTCTCCAAAGGCCTATCAGAAAGTGGGATATTCAGCAGGATTTCTAACACAAGCCCATGTTTCATTTCCACCAGCACAAAGAGAGTGAAAAAAGTGCCTTTCCTGACTCTCTGCTCATTATTATTTGAACAGAAGGTTGGGACAGACATCCACTGCAGCACTTCCACCTCTCCAGATGATGACTTGTGCTATATTCCAGATAGCAAATGGATCTTCCTGCAGTGGCCCAAGGAAAATTCATCACAGTCATATGACTCACTGCCTCTGCTCTTTAAGTGGGGATCTTTTCCCTCTGGAGAGCCCATCCAGCTCATCCACACACAGGCTGATGCCAAAGCTCCTGTGCCTCATCTCTGGTCTCTGGGTTCTTTTTTAGGGAGTTCTCTGGCCATGGAGGATGATGGATTTTGGTTCCTACACCACTATCCTACTGAAAGACAGGAACTGGGAATACAGCATGTTCAGGGAATGCTAGATTTGCCCTGGAAGACATCTGTTGAAGGGATTCCCTCTGGAATTGCTGCTAGCTGCTGTGCTGTTCCCTGCTAGGCTGACCTTTTGAAACAGGGCTGGACCCAAGATGGAAAAAGCAAAAGAACTGGGAAGCTGCAGTTAATTCCTTCCCACACACTCCCCCAGTGTCCAAGTGTTTTATAAGTGCTTTGCTACTTGCAGCCTCTCCTCTTAGGATGCAGAGAGCAAGCAAAGTCACCCTGGGATATGGCTGTATTCCTGCTGGGTCAGGAAATGGAAAATTCACTCCTGAACCATAAGGAGAACTTCCCTGCTACCATCACCTCATTGCTTTTCAGAAAATAATTTCCTTCAGTATCTGTGATGTCAGAAATGCAGGGTTACAAAAGCACAGGTGAGCTCTGCCTATGCACCTTCCCAGAGCAATTCAGGGGAAAGAGGAGGCCCTTCCCTTTCTCCAGGCTCAGGTTCTCATCCTGTCGGCATTGTGGAGCAGCCGAGGCTTTTCGCCACAGCTGGAGGGGAGGACCTTTCCTGATGCTTCATTCTGGATGGTTTAACTGCCTCCTTTTGCTCCTCTCAGTGTTCAGCAATTACCAAGGGGAAGCTGCCAGAGCCAGGAGGTGACAATGACATCAGGTCTTAATCCCAGAAGTATCACGGGCTCCGTGTTTCTCCTGCCTTCCCTTCTCCTGCATTTCACTTCACACCATGCAGGGCACTACGTTTCTCCAGGGGACTCAAGCAGGGCATCAAAAACAGAGAGCACAGCCAGCCATGGCAACAGGAAATGATTTCCTTCATTTTGGTGTTTTACAGCTGATGTATTTTAAGTGGAGCCTTTCAGTGGGAGCAGCTACAGGAGAGGGAAGGACTGTGGGGTCACAGAATCACAGAACATGCTGAGTTGGAAGGGCCCCAGCAGGATCAAGTCCAACTCCTGGCCCTGCACAGGCCCATCCCCACCCTGTGCCTGAGGTCACTCTGAGGGGAGTGGCAGAACTGTCACAGAGGGCACCAGGGCCTTACCTGCATAAGGAGCCGCAGAGGTTTTCCATCCTGCTGCTCAAGGACTCTGAACTTCACTCCAGCTGCAAAGACACAAAACAAGGAAATCCATGGTGGGATTCTTGGGACTGTTCTGTGCAGGGCCAGGAGCTGGACTTGATGATCCCTGTGGATCCTTTTCCACTCAGGATATTCTACAGTTCCACGCCATTTGTTGCCCAGTGCTGTTGTCTGAGCACTGATTCCCTAGAAACTGTCTTAAACCTTTCTGGATTTGGGAACCTCCCCACTTTTTCAACAGGATTCTCTCATAGTGGTTTAAGGCTAATTACAAATGATGTTTCCCTCAGCTCCACTAAAAGCAGCTCCTCTGACTTCCAGCTCGAGAACACAGTCCTAAAGCAAGCACAAAGACCAGAAATCAGCCAGCCAGACCTGATGATGACAAAGGGACTGGGAAAACCTTTTTCTTTCCCCAAACTTCCATCAGAATGGGCACTCCATGTTTAGAGCTCACCTTTAACTTGTGCTCATGTGGATCCAGCACATGTGCAAATCTCTCCCTCTTTCAGATCGAGGGAAGGAAGTGGCTGACTAGAGGCATGAAAACATTTTGGAGCAATCCCTGCCCATTAATCCCAGCATCCCGATGTTTTTAACAGGCTACTAACCCCATCAAACCTGCCACTTTTCCATTTCCTCTTGGATAAACCTGTCCCATCCAAGTGTGTCCCTGTTATTCCTTTCTGCAGGTAAGATGAGACAAGATTAACAAAAATGATCTGCCACAGATCAAACACTGCCTCAGGAGTACAAACAGAAATAAAACCTGTGTAAACCCCATCACTACAGTATCTCTGTGACTCCTGCACATTTAAAAACCAAAATGTTTCCTCTTTTTCCTCAAGCTTTGAATTAATTAAAATTATATAGTACACTCCTGAGACAGAACTCTCCTCTAGCACAGAGGTCTGGTGCAAACTCTCTGCCCAAATCCTAAAACCTTTCCTGTCCAGGGCAGGAGGGGTTTATCTGCATTTTGCTGGATTATATTGAAACATGGGCTCCTCCAGTGGCTTCAAACAGATGTTTGAGTACCCTGGGCCTCAACAAGCAAATGTGCTGGATGACCAAGTGTGTTCAATGTGATCATAGAGCTGTGGCTCAGAAAAGTGTCTGAGCCATTCCAGGAACTATTTTCAGGCAGAATTTGTCAGAGAGAGTCAGAAACAATAGGCAGTGAAGGTTCAAGTACAGGGTTGAGCACTCTGGAGCCTTATCCTACAACAGCCCACCAGAGCAGCAAAAGCTGGTTCTGTAGGTCATGGCCACACACCTCCCTTCTACAGCTGCAAGCCAACCACCTCTTAATTAGATTACTTAATTGCTCAAGAGACTGAAACTTCTAAGAAAATATATGCAGGAAAAGGCCATAAATTTATTTTAGAATGACCTACAGATTCCTACAGTGCTCAGAAGTCTGAGCACTTCCCAGGAGAGCAGGAAGGCTCAGTCTCCTGCAGGTCACTCCAGCAGAGAAGAACCCTGAACTATTTCATGATTTCCAGCCAACTCCAGAGCTCAGAGTTCTGCTTCTTCTGTACAAAGGCACCATCAGTGGCACAAGAGAGACCAGGACATGAACACATTTGCTTTGTTTCACAGGACAGCACACTAAAGTGAGCTCACTGCCTGTTTGTATCCCACTGATCATGGAGACAGCAGCACGACAGGTCCTACAGAACCACGACAAAACCTGTCCCAACCTTTGGGATGGGAATACTGGGACAGAGAAGCACAGAGAAAATGAACTGGCCTGTTCACAATCAAACAGCATGTTGGTAACCCGTGTGTGGGCAGAGCTCTTGAGACCCCCAAACTCACTGTTATGCCTTACTTCACCCTATGAATCCACATCCCAACCACAGTGGCACCCCTTGAGCTGACACTGGGTGGATACAACTCTTGTTGTATCCATCAGCTGATGGATGCACAAAAGGCTTTTTAAAGTCACAAATATTTCACTTTGGATGTGTGGAAAGCAAATATGGGCTTAGTTTCTGGTGTGTGGATGGATCATTCACCTACCCTAGCCCAGGCTTCATCGGTGGGGTATTTTGTCAATTCACTGAGTCATTGAAGCATGGAGTGGTTTGGGTTGGAAGGGACCTTAAAGCTCATCTAGTTTCCCACCCCTGCCATGGGCAGGGACACCTTCCACTAGCCCAGGTTGCTCCAAGCCCCATCCAGCCTGGCCTTGGACACTTCCAGGGATGGGGCAGCCACAGCTTCTCTGGGCAACCTGTGCCAGGGCCTCCCCACAGGGAACATATTCTTCCCAATATCCCATCTAAATGGGATATTCTTCCCAATATCCCTCTTTCAGCTTAAGGCCATTCCCCCTTGTCCTGTCACTGCTTGTCCTTGCAAAAAGTCCCTCTCCAGCCTTCTTTGCAAGCCCCCTCGAGTAAAGAACTTGGAGGCCAGATGCCATGAGTGAACTGAGCTCAACTTAAACATGACACTGAACCTTTCCCACCAGGAAAAACTATCCATTCATGTTGGTAGAACCATCTTGATGTAAAATCAGCTGCGGTAACACATGCCAGAAGGTGTCTTATTCAAGTTCTGGGTCTGAAAAGGGAGGCAGAACCTAAGCAGTGAGGACACCAGGAGATGTGTACTCTCTGAAGTCCTTTGAATTGGATTCAACTGCTCCATCTGTTCCTGTTGCAATGCCATATCTTTGTGCTGAGGCAGGAACACAGGCTGCAGAAATGCTCAGAGCTGCCTCTTCATCTCACAGACAACATGGCATTGCAGGATCAGTAAAGAAACTCATCTGGGAAGACAACCCTGTGCCTGGGTGGAGGCTTGTTACCCTGCAGCAGGTACCTGGCTGAGCAAGAATGAGAAGCATTCCAAGACTGACGGGAATATGTGGCCTTACACAGAAGAGGTTGGAAAAGACCTCCAAGATCATCAAGATCAACCCTTTACTGAACAACACCACGTCAACTAAACCATAGCACTGAGTGCCACATCCAGTTGTTTCCGGAACACTTCTAGGGATAAATCAGGGATACACCTCTCAGCGGAATGAGACTTCCCTCTGCTCCGTGACCTGCTGTTTACTGGCTCAGTTTTCTTCAGCAGCATCTCCCCAAAGACAGCCCTGAAGGATTGAGAAGTTTCTGCCAGGAAATTCATAGGAACCTGCTGCAGGCAGAGTTGGTAACATGGCTCAGCTCTACCTTCCCAAAACTGAGCGTGGCACTGCTCCAACAGACAAAGCTGAGGTTGCCTCAAGCTCCTCCTGACTTTGATGACTAGCCTTGGTTTAGTGATGATCAAGCTCTTTCTCCCATGTTAAATTCCTGCTGCATGCTCTTTAAATGGATAGGAGATAATAAATGTGCTAGATCAACCATAGCTGTTGACAGTCAAACTCATTCCAAAATGAGCCTTACTCTGGTGCCAGCCATGGTTTATGGTTACCCAAAGTGCAAACAATGACTAGCTCAAAATGGTGACAGATTAGTCTCAAAAAGACAATGATGATCTGAACTCTGCCCAGAGCTTTGAATTTAATCCAAACTTCTCAGCTCAGGACTTCAGTCGGTCAGGTCAGCACAGAGCTGAAACAGCTCCACTGATTCACAGCCACTGTAGATCCAGCCCTTTGGAACAGCCAATATTCCAAGTATTTTTGTGATTTGGCTTTTTTCAGAGCCCAAACTGCCAAAGTTATCGGCTTGTTTCATAGAATCATGGAATATCCTGAGTGGGAAGGGACACACAAGGATCATCAAATCCAACCCCTGGCCCTGCACAGACATCCCAACAATCCCATCCCTCCCCAAGAGCGTTGTCCAAACACTCCTGGAGCTCTGGCAGCCTTGGGGTGCCATTGCCCCACCACCCTCTGGGGGAAGAACCTTTTCCTGATATCCAGCCTAAACCTCCCCTGACACAGCTTCATGCCATGTGTAACTCTCTGAAGTTTATCTGACCTGGTTCTCTAGAACTGGAACAAAAGATGAACTCGTTTATGGTGCTTGTTTGGATGTCACTTTTAGCTGCCACAGGATTGGACTGAGTAAAGGTGCTCGTGATTTTGCTTCAGCATCAGATTTCTTTCCATTGACATCCTCACCCTGCTCCTTGCAGGGTTAACAGTGGGGACACCTGCATGACTCAAGCCTCAGGTTCTTTCCTGCCCCCACTGCATCTTATTATTCAGGAGTGACCCAGGGCATCAAAATTAAAAGTATAATGCAAAATCCTTGAGCTGCTTTAGGGGCAGAGCTGAGGGACTTACCTGCGAGCCTGTAGGATCTGCAGAGCCGAAGGATCAGGGAATAAAGGGGCAGAGAGTCAATCAGGTCAACGAGCAAGTGTATGAGGCCTTGCACAATCACCACCAGCAATCGGAGCTACAAATATAGTGTAACAGAAAATAGCAAACAGGAGATGAAACACTTGGAAATTCATGAGCTGAGCTGGGATCTGACATTGCTGTGGGCTAAGCCAAAGTCTTGTGTGCTGAGCTAAAGCCTCCCAAAGTGGGTTTGATGTCCAGAAGTGCTGAGCATCCAAACCCTGTGTGAAGATCCTTGGCAATCTGAGCTTTCAGGTGTAACTGGAATGAAGCTCCTATGGCTGCGGTCCTGCAAGGACGTGGGACCTATTCCACTTTCGACAGCCACAGTTGAAAAGGAAGCCCAAATTCTCCCATTTCTAGTCAACTCCAGCACTGTGTACCACTGAATGTCAACTTTTCCCTCTCCAAAGGGGAGCTGAAGTAGTTTATTTGTGCCCCACACAGAGTCTAAGCAAGAGCAGAGCAGTCAGGAATGAGCTCCCTGCTCCATGTTTTCTGTCCCTGATTAAAGCACCTCCTTTTGTCACACTGCAGTTATTTTTTGCTGCCAAGCTCATCTGAAAAGAGAAGGCTCAAAAAAGATGCTGAAAGCATGTGATTGTCACTGTCTGTGGAAAATTTGGCTCTGGGGAGAGACTGGTCATGTTGGGGGAAGAAAAGAAAAAGCAGTCGCAGCGTCTGAGCAAAGCCTGGCTGAGAGCATTTAACACAGCAAGTTATTCCCTGAAATAAGGTTCTGGATCAAACCACAGGGGCTGTCACCTCAGACATGGGATGGAAAGATAGAAAAACAACTTCTGAGAGATAGAGGGAAACCGTTTGTCCTGCTGGCCTGGATTTGCTGGGAATTCCCTTTGGAGAAACACAAACATACATCCTGAATTCCACTTGAGCTGTGTGAGAATCCTTCCTAGGACACCCAAAATTTATATTTTCTTTATGGATGACAATAAATGTCTAGGAAACCAATTTTTGCTCTCTCAGAAGAGAGTATATGACTTGTTTCAAGGGTTAAATCTTACCAGGGTAAACACCAAATAATACAGTGCAGTTGTAGGCAGGAGGAACAGCAGGATGGTGAACAGCAAAGTGCCAATAAATAACTAGGGAAAAAGGAAACACAGTCATGAGCAGAGCAATGGCAAAATACAACACATTACAAATAAAAACCAGGAGGCTGTGAGGCAGCAGAAGTTTGCAGGACCCCTTAATGTGTGTTTTTTTACTGCCTATGTGAATAATGATGCTACCTGGGATATTTTCAGTATTCCTCCTCTCATTGGGTCTTCTTAGAAGGCTCCCTATTTTAGGAGTATGTTTGAAAAGATAAATAAAAGCTGGATCCTGACAGCACTTTTCCTTTATAGACAACACTCAAGATTTCCTATTTCAGCCCAGCTTCCCTTAGGAAACAAGACTTACATGATCTTGCCATTTGTTCCCACCATATCCACAAAAGTTTTAGAACCATTGATCAGTTTTCAGCAGAAAACTGTGTAAAGGAACAAAGAAGAGGAAATTTGGATGGAAATTTTGTAGAGAATTGAGCAGTACTTTTGTTCCTCCTTGTTTTAGCAGAACGGGCACCTGGTTAAAAGCTGTCAGAATTTGGCTGATAAACATTCCCTGAGGCACCAGCCACAGGAATTCTGCCTCTTGTTCAGTGGGAAACTGGGAGAAAGGAAGAAGCTGGAGTTACTGGGGTGGGGGAAGCAATATTCAGAGGATGAAGGAGAAAAAAATCCATGGAAAGCAGGTGTCACTGGCTCCACTGCCCACACAAAAAGTTATTTTTATTCTGGGTCAGCCCAGTTGGTGTAAGTCTAACTAATTCCAACTGGGAGAAATGCACATTTATGACAAATAGGGACCTGATTCTTTAAGTTTCAGTCACCACTTCCAGAACAGAGAAGCCCCAGGAGCACAGGGCACTGCCACTTTTGCAAAAAGAGATCATGGCTGAGGGATATGAAAAAAAAAGAACCCACCAGCCACATCACAGAGGTGGATCAGCACCCCAGCTTTAGGCTCACAACCAAGAATAGATCACAATCCAACCCATTCTCCTCACAGCAGTTGTTTCTCCCCTCCTCTGTCACTCCACTGCAGTTACTTAAACCTCCAAAAGTCTTTTAAGGTCTGCTTTAAACGTCTCTTCCTCCCCAGCCAACGACACAATTCCCACTGGTCTCCAGAGCAGCAGAATGAAGCCTGAAGTGCCAACCCAATTCTCCTCAAAGTACACAGGGACTGAGCCCTGATGCAAAGCTGGCACGGAGGCTTTTACTCTCCAAAGAAACAAAACCAGCCCAGCAGTGGTGCAAGAAGCTCACGGTTATCTGTTGTAAAGGCAGGAAGCACCGACCCTGGGAGCCCCCAGATATTATTGTACGATTTCAGTGATGTTGCAGCTGCCAGAGAAGGAGTAGTTCAGGCTCTGCTGGATGTTTGTGTGGCATTTCGGAATTAAAAAGAGCTTCCAGCGCTCGACCAAAAGCTACCTCTGCCTGAGTGAGAGCGAGTGGGCCCCGCTCCAGCACGACGTGAATGAAACCGGGCCTTTTAATAGAAACGCTGCCACGGCTGTTACTGTGGCAACACTGCCGGGCCCCGCATCGGGAACGGCCTCCAGCCCTCCCCCATTCCCGCTCCAGGCGCCCGGACTGCCGGGAGCTGCAGCACCCACCGCGGGCCCGGGCAGGGGCTCAGGGGGATTCAGCCCTCTGAGAATGAAGGGAAGGTTTGGGAAGGTTGGGGAAGGGGAAGGGGAGGGCAGCTGCAGGGCAGCAGAAGAGCCACGGATGCAGTGTTGGGGCATGTCCTTGTTCCAAGCACCACAAAGCCTCCCGTGGCTTCTGTCTCAGTGTTGGATGAAGCAGGACAGGGTCACACGGCCCGTGGGCAGGGTCCTGCAGTGAGCCCAGGGCTGCAGCACTACCTGGTCCAGGTCATAGGAGCAGGAGTCCACCCGCTGCCGGAGCACGTTCCACTTCTTGCCCCGGAACAGGCGCCACAGGGATGACAGTCCATAGATCTTGAGGCAGTAGAGCCTGAGCAGAGAGAACACTGTGGGCATCAGAGCTGGGAGCTCCTGAGCCCCAGCCCCAAACAGCCTCACAGCCCTGTGCCCACCCACACGGGGTGGCAAAAGGGATCAGCTGAGAATGGCACAGACAAATGGCTCAGTCAGTGTACTTGGGCTGGCCCTGGCACAGGGCTACTGCAGCCAGCTCTGGGCCACTGGAGGGCAAAGGCCAGGCCACGTCCTGGGGCTGCAGCAATTGCCAGCACCATGGCACCACCATCCTGGCAGCAAATGGTGGTGAGGCCCTGAGGTTGCCCAGAGAAGCTGTGGCTGCCCCACCCCTGGGAGTGTCCAAGGCCAGGTTGGACGGGGCTTGGAGCAACCTGGGCTGGTGGAAGGTGCCCCTGCCCATGGCAGGGGGGTAGAAATGGATGGTCTTTAAGGTCCCTCCCAACCCAAACCAGGCCATGATTCTATGAAAAGAAGCAGCAAGCTCATTCCCCCAGGCTCATCTGTGTGTCCCCAGTTCAGATCTGTCCCTTCCCCTCATTTCTTCACACCCTCCCATGGCAGGGCTGGCCAAGGTCTGACCCCCTTCCTTGAGTCAATGCAATGCAATTTTGCCTCTGCAGCACAGAGACAAGAGAGAGGACTGGATCCCCTGTGCCTCCTCTAGTAACCCACAGCTCCAAACATCCTGAAGAGGGGGAAGAGATCAAGGAAATGGCTGGTGGCCCCTACTGCATCCCTTCCTCAGGATTCATGAACTTGGTGCTATGACACTTGGAGCTACTTCCCTCCCAGAAAAATGGCAATGAGGAGGGAAACTTGGCATGGCAAGGGACGTGAAACGGACATCCCTCTATGGAATAACATCAAGGAATAAAGGGCTTCTGGGATGGAGAAGAGGCACAAAGAGCCCTGGGCAGAAGTGCCAACATACAGGGATGTAAAGAAAGGGGACACAGCCAACCTGTGGGGCAAAACTGAGCCTGAGAAAGCCTGAGCCACAAAAGCCAGACTGGTAAACCAGAGTAGCTAAGGCATGGAGGCTGCTCAGATTTCACATCAGCTTTGTGAAAGCAGAGGTAAGGAGTCTCATCCAAGAGAGGAATCTCTAGGATTGAGGAACACCAGCTGCTTCCAGGAACTGGCAGGGTGCCCCCAGACTGCAGGCACAGCTCCCTGCACTGACGCCCGGGCAGGAGGGTGCCCAGGAAGGCTCCTCCAGGTTCTGGGACACACCTGCCCGTGGCTCTGACTGAGGCCACGCACTCTCTGCACACCCTAACGTTGACACCAAGCGGGTGTTGCTGTGGTGGCACCTGCCCCACCTGCCCTGGCTGCCTGCACACACTTGCCTGCTCTCCTTTCACTCTCTGGTTTGCTTCACAAGGGGATCTTGGGCTTCATCGGCACCTGAACCAGCAAATTCTTCCAGCAGCTGTGGGAACTCAAGGAGCTGTGGTGGCTGTGGGTGACTGCTGTCCCTTCCTGGCTCTCCATGGGGGCACCTGGCTCAGCAAGGCAGCTCAGTGCCAGTGCCAAGGTAACACAGAGCTCTCTGTACTCCTGACAAACACGAGGTGGGTTGGTTGGCTCCCTGCAGCTCGAGGGAAGAGCAATCAGCTGAGAAAATGCTTTTCCTACTTCCACTCTCTACACAATTAGGAGAAGCAAGGCCACTCCTCACAGACCAGCACAGAGATTCCAGTAGTTAGAGGTGTTGGGAAGAGATCCCCCATCACTGACATGATTTTGAGTGTAAGCCCTGTGCTCACAACAGACCTGACTCATAAATGATGTCTCAATATTTCCAACCATTCCCTAAACTACTCATCTAAAGACTTACTATTTCTTCTGTTGTTTGCAGTGTAAAGCGTGGGGAGGGACAATGACCATTCTGTACCTTATAAGCCTAAAGGTCCTTTATTTATTGTATCCCACCTCCCTGTCAGGCTCAGCTGTTGTCCCATGGCCTGAGTGACTCCTTGGTGCAGCACATGCTAAGGAGGCAGGAACAGAGCACAGTGATGGGCACTCCTTGCACAGGAACCTCAACATGCCTTAGATGTGCCCCAAAGCCCCCTGCACTCCCCCAGCTCTCAGGCCACAGGGCTCTCCAGGAGGTCCAGACAAATGTGACACCAGGATGGTGTCACAGCCATGCTGTAATCCCAAACCTGGCAACTGTGCTCCACAAGAACCTCTGCAGCAGTGAAGACACAGGGACTCTGGGACTTCTCCAGAGCTACGAGAGTTCCCCTCTCCTCCTCCTCTCCTCCAGTTCCCCTCCAAATCACTGGGCAGGGTGCAACTGAGGAGAGAACTATAAGGCTGAATCAAAGGGATGGGGAGAACAGCTTTCCTGTCCTCTGCCTGTCATATAGTTCTATTTTTCCAGGTCACTACCACGATAAATAAATATTTAAACACAGGAGAACTGAAAGACAGGTTGCTTGTACTACTGTGGCCACCATTTCTACCAGCATAAAAGAATTAATAAATTAATTGCTGGTTAAACTGTGAATTGAAAAGCACTCCACCAGGACTGAATGCTCCACCAACTGAAGGTAGGCCTGAGGGCTCTGTGGCCCTTGTCCCCAGCCAAAGCGAGGAGGGAAGGACTCACCGGGCCCCGTAGACGTAGAAGCAGTAGATGTGGAAGGTGAGGAGCGCGATGATGTCGGAGAGGATGCACAGAGCCACGGTGAGGCCCAGACAGGCTGACAGCCCCACATACCACAGGATCATCTCGATGAAGGGCGACATCAGGTGGATGTAGCCTGGTGGACACGGCAGAGGGTCGGTGTCACATCCTCCTGGCACTCTCAAAAGTCTGATTCCCCCTACTCTAGAACACTGCTCCGGAAACCAGAGCCGTGAAAACATGGAAGTGAAGCTGGAAAGCTCCTTTAGATGTCACCTCCTTTTTAGGAGGGCCAACTAAAACTCTCTTTCAGCCAAGGTTTCTGTCGAGGTGTGGCAGCTCTGTGAGGAAGGGGAGGATACACTTACCTTGAACAGAGCAGCCACTTGCTCCACATGTGATTCATAGAATCAGCATGGCACGGTTTGGGTCAGAAGGGACCTTAAAGCCCATCTTGTTCCATCCCCTTCCATGGGCACCTTCCACTAGACGAGGTTGCTCCAAGCCCCATCCAACCTGATCTTGAACACTTTCAGGGATGGAACATTTGATTTTCTACACCTGTGTCTGGGTTCTCAAGTACATTTTTAACTGCACACATCATCATTTACTGCAACCATTTCTATTTTCCTGCCCTTCCCACAAAAGCCACCCCATATGGCTTTTATAAAACAAAACAGTGTGGAGAAACAGTCTCATCGCTAAAGTGGGGCAAAGTCACACAAACAAGACCATACTTGATTGGTGAGCAAAGTAAAGCAGTATAATAACTATGGGGTTCATGTCCATCATGACTGTACTCCTCCACCAAGGACAGAAGGGGGGTGTTATTTCAAGGGGGAACCTGAAATGAAATTGCACTAAGCTCAAGTTGGGAATAGAACAGGGCTGGTGTTTGCATCCCTGCACATTCCTCATCCCTACCCCATCAGCTGCCTTCCATGTAAACGCTGTGTCAGACCTTGTAGAGGTGCCTTCCCTTGGACACCCACCACCAGTGACACCAAGAAAGCTCCATGGTGATCTGCACTTCTTGCAGAGCATCAATACCAGCACTTTGCTTAATGTGCATGATTTCCTTGTGTGGGAATCCAACTTTGGCTTCAGTTCCCACAGCAGGAAGACTCAAAGACAAGTCTGTACTTGCAGAAGAACATTTTGATTCATTACTCACCTCCAGGCAAACATTAAACACTCAGAGGAAAGAGATGAAAAGGGAGGCTGGGAAGTTAAACAACTGCACTTACTAATCCAGAGATGGATGTGGTAGAGGAAGAAGCGGCCCAGAACCTGATCCAGAGCTCGGTTCATTTTCAGTCCAGCTGGGGCTCCCATCAGCCACTGGAGCAGGTCCTGGAGCTCCTCAGCTACATGCTGCAAACACAGGGAAGTAGGGACTGGAGATAAAACAGTGCTACCACACCAAACAGGAACTGTGCACTGTTAGTGCTGCCCCCTCAAAGGATTCTTACCACAACCTTCAAACCCACGGAAAAAAATCCAAACAACTACTTTATAGCCGACCAGTCAAATCAGAACTGCACCTTCACTGACTCCTTACTGACTCAAACACAACAGCTGAGAGGAACCTGAACTGCTTCCATGGTCTCAGTGCTGGGAACATGAAACTGTGTCACCTCTGGTAGACTTGCACAGTGTCAAATGAGAGTTCTGGAAATAGATGGCAAATGCTGGTGCACAAATGGACTTCTGGAGACAGTCAACTAAAAAGTCAGAGCTGAGCTTGGGGAAGGCTGCCAGGATTGTAAAAGGGGGGAAGATGGCAGTGCAGTGAATTTTTACGAACAACCTTTATGTGTTTAGTGCAGGGTAGAAAACATGATTATATAAATGTATTTCATACACAAAATTTCTTGATACTCTGTGGTGTACTAGGCAAAATTAGCCCTGCTTATAGCACTACTCTTGCCTATCACTCTTGTGTCTCTCTGGAGGCTCCATGGAGAGGTACCTATGGCATTCCTGAAACAAAGCAACCTCTGAATCACTGATGAAAAACACTAATGGAGCTTGTCCCCAAATCACAGAATCAGAGACCATTATAGTTGGAAAAGACCTCTAAGATCAACAAGTCCAACCATTAACCTAATATGGCCAAGGCCACCACTAACCCACATCCCCAAGTGCCACATCCACATCTTTTAAGTCCCTCCAGGAATGAGGACTCCACCTCTGCCCTGGGCAGCTGTGCCAGGGCCTGACCACCCTTTCCGTGAAAAAGTTTTCCCAATATCCAATTTAAACCTCTCCTGGCACAACGTGAGGCCATTTCCTCTCACCCTGTCCCTTGTTCCCTGGGAGCAGAGCCTGACCCCTCCCAGCTCCCCCCTCCTGTCAGGGAGTTGCAGAGCCAGAAGGTCCCCCCTGAGCCTCCTTTTCTCCAGGCTGAGCCCCCCCAGCTCCCTCAGCCCCTCCTGCTGCTCCAGCCCCTTCCCCAGCTCTGTTCCCTTCCCTGGACATGCTCCAGACCCTCCATAGCTTTCTTGTTATGAGGGACCAACACTGTCCCAGGACTGGAGGTGCAGCTCCCAAGGGACTCTGGTGCTGAGCTCCAGAACATGTTCCCCCCTGCCCTGTGTGCTGCCACTTCAATGCAGCAGAACAAACCAAAACACAGCTCTGGGATTGTTATTCCTTACCTCAAACTTGTGCTCCAGACCCTTCACAGGGGGCTTTGACTCACAGTTTCTGGTGATTTCATCTCAGGCTGATGTTATTTATTGATTTTCTCTCTCCACCCCACTACTCCACACTCCCCTTGCAGTGGCTCTGCTGCTTGGTGCTTCTCACCTGCCCTACTCCCCTGAGCTGAAACCAGAGGTGAACTTCATTTACAGGCTGTGAACTGAGGTAGCTGAGAGTGGTAACCTTCAGCAAGGAGCTGGGGAACATACCTGGAAGAAGGGACCTCTGACATTGTCCCACACGAACAGATCGTGAGGAAAAGCCTTCTACCTCCAAAAATCCCACTGACAGTTAAGTCCACGCAAGTGAAGGGCACTGAAAACTGCCCACACGTAGAACCACCAAACCACACTCCCTCAAGTACTGCAGCCTACTTTCCCCATCATTCATATGAATAATTTCCCTACAAGGAAATTGTTTCCAAGGAACGATTCCATTTTCTTTATTAACCAACCAACCAAGATCCTGGCAAAATGAGTTTGTAAATATTTACTTTCAGTGCAGTGGCAAAATTAATGGCTCCATCTCTAACTTCTTCAAAAGGCTGTCTTTCTGTTCCCTCCATTTTTCCTCTGTCTCACTGCAAGTCAGGACTGATTGGATCCCATGGAACTCACCTCTGTGGCTGGGAAGCGTTTGCTGCTTTATAAATAGACTGGGTTTAATATTTAAAGTGTTGGACTGGTAACTTAGAAAAAGCATTTGGGGATTTTAATGAAATATTTAAATGCTTGAAAGCAGTCCTTCAGCAAGGTTGGTTTTCAGCAGGCAGTATTTCTGGAGGCTGCCAGTCCCAGAGGTGCTGCTAAACCCTGACAGGGGCACGTAGCCCTGGGAAGGTGCCCTATCTTGCTGTTATTTACCTGGGCAAGCCTTCCCAAAGCATAGTCCCAAGGCATAACCTTGGAGATTGTTTTCCAAACAGATATTTTAGGATTGATCGATAGCCAGGAGAATCAGAAAAGGTGACTGGGAGGCCAATTCTCCTCCTGCAGTCATGAATACTGAATGTGGGCAGTATTAATAAATCACACACAGTGGGTTGAAGTGTTTCATAACAGGGTGCAGGGACACGACCAAACTGGAGAGAGACTGAAGCTAACAAGGGTTAGATGAGCTCACTGTGGAAATATTCCCTTTACTGTCATTCTCTTTCTCGTTTCCATAGGCAGAGGGACTGATGGTGATGTGACATGGATAAGGGCACACAGGGCACCGGGAAATCCACTGATGCTTCAGGGAAGGGAACAGAGCTGGGGAAGGGGCTGGAGCAGCAGGAGCAGCTGAGGGAGCTGGAGGGGCTCAGCCTGGAGAAAAGGAGGCTCAGGGGGGACCTTCTCATTCTCACAACTCCCTGACAGGAGCGGGGAGTTGGGGGGGGTCAGGCTCTGCTCCCAGGGAACAAGGGACAGGACAAGAGGAAACAGCCTCAAGCTATGCCAGGGGAGGTTTAGGTTGGATATTGGGAAAATTTCTTCATGGAAAGGGTAGTCAGGCCCTGACACAGCTGCCCAGAGCAGTGGTGGAGTCCCCATCCCTGGAAGTGTTCAAAAAGCATGTGGATGTGGCACTTGTGGACATGCTCTAGTGCTGAACACAGTGGTGGTGCTGGTTGATTGTGGGATTTGATGACCTTGAAGCCTTAACGGCTCTACCTGCTGCAGGTTGGAGCACACAGAGCCAAAGCTCTCGCTGCCAGACACCCCTGCCTGTGTCTGCTGCAGGTGTTTGGGGCTCTAAGACACACTATTTTACAAGTTACCATCTATAAATATTTTCCAGGAAGTGTTCTCTCTGCTTGCTTTGTTTATGCATCAGCGGAACAAGGCTGAGTAGGAATGTACATCCAATTATCTCCCAGCCCCAGTAAGGCTTTTGGAGGCACGATCCATGATAAATATTTAACTGTTTCAAAGAGATTACAGCTTTAGAAAAAGAGACATCGGTGAGGATCAAAGAGATGAAGGAGGTAAAAAAGAAACAGAAGGTAGTTTATAAGCGAGTGTAGTGCTTTGAGTCAGGTATTTCTGAAAAAAGGCTGTCGTGGAAAAGGGACAACCACTGGCAAGCCTGGTGGGATCAAGGGGAAGGAGGAAGGTAGGAGTTGTGTGGGCACCTACAGAGAGAAGATTATTCCCATTTTCCATTCTTGGATTTGAAAGCCTCTCCAAAATCAGTCCTTGGTACTGCACACAGCTCCTTGCCAGTGGCTCCCTGGGTGTCTGTGAATCACATCTGCCTCACTGCCTGACAAAAGCAACTTGTTATTACAGCCAGCACAGCACAGCTCCTCAAGCTGTGAGAGTGGGATGCCTTGTGCAGCATCAACAATTGCCAGCTAAGTGCTGATTTGAGAACCATTTCATCAGGGGATGAGGAATGATGGCCAGGGAACAGGGATTGAGCCTCCTGGCAGCAGCTGACTGTGTGACCTGTGCTGAGAGTCAAAATACCCCTGGACCTCCAAAATATACCTGGACCTCCCTCCTTCCAGAGAGATGTCTGCTAGGCAAAAAAATGAGCAGTTTATCCAGGCTCCACACAGCTGTAATTTTGTCAATATTAAAATCAATCAATCAAACCAATGAGGTTATATGTTATATAAGGTTAGTTTGTCAATAGGAAAATCAGTGAGGTTAAAATAAGGTTATGTATGATTTATAATATATTAGAGTACATAATAATCATATTATAATAGAATCAGGGAATACCCTGAGCGGGAAAGGACCAACAAGGACCCTGCCTTGCATGGGACACCCCGACAATCCCACCCTGTCCCTGAGAGTGTTGTCCCAACACTCCTGGAGCTCTGTCAGCCTTGGTGCTGTGCCCACTGTCCTGGGGAGCCTGTTCAGTGCCCCACCACCCTCTGGGGCAAATGATATATCCAATATTCTATTTACTAACACACAGAAGTGTAAGGCCAATGCCATCAGCAGATCTGGGGCACAGCTCAAAAGCAGAAGAGAAGGAGCTTTAGGGAAGGAACAGGAGCTCTGTTACTGAACTTGGCAAAACACAAGCACTTGAGAAAGCCCCAGTGACGGGAATAATGCATTCCAGATGGACACTCAGCAGCACAGAGGAAACCTACTGCTGAATGGCTAAGGGGAGATTTTGCTGTCATACTGGAAAAGAAGCGGAGCTGGCTTGCACAGCACATGCTGAAGTCATCGGTATATTTTGGGATCACTCAGATCTGCATTTTTAAGGCCTGCAGAATATGCATATAAATCAATGCCCAGCAAAGGCAGTAAAAGGACTCCAAATGATTTTGTGTCCACAGCCTAATATGCCTGAAAGAAGAAAGTAAGGCTGGGAAGTAAGGAGAGTTGTGAGTGGCCCGAACTGATAAGCCTGGATAAACAGGGAAGAAAGGCACTGACTGGCTATCAGGGCCCCCCACACACGGAGGAGTCAGCACTTCCAGGAAGGAAAGCAAACAGCTCCTGGTGACAGCCAGGTAACCAAGTCCACACACGTAGGAGGCCTGTGGAGATAACTGACACTGATGCATGAGCTGAGTGACAGGTGAGCTAAATTACTGAGAGAGGAACAAACAAGCAACCTCAGAAGCCAGCCTGTCCAGGACAGGTGCTGGGGTTGGACATACCTGGAGCACAGAGAGTGTCCATCTGCCAAAGACACTGGGCAGATGGAATCCCTCCCGGAGCCTCCTGTGCCACCAGGAACGCAGCCAAAGCCACTTCCCTGCAGACTTGTTAAGAAATCAGATTTCTGAGAGCTGGGCACTTACAATAATCGCATAGAGAGAGCTCTAGGGAACCTAAACTTCTCCAGTTGTAAGGAAAAGACTTAGGAATAAGGCTTAGAAAAATATTTGTAGGGTGTAGCTCCTGCAGGAAATGTGGTCCTTTCTACCCACCACTGCTGGTGAACAGTGGCTGCAGCAATCCTTAAAACATGCTATCCTTGAAAGTTTGACTATGGAAGATAAGAAGAATAGCAATAATCGTGATCCACAGCTATGCTGGACACTCCATACACACTTTGTGAAAGCACAGCATGTCATGATCAGAGATTGATGGCTTGCAACAATTAAAGGGTTAGACACAGACCAAGCAGATCATCATGAAGGGAAATGGGAGCCCTTCTCAGGAAATGCAGCATAAGTAGGAAAGATAAACTGCTGCTGGAATTCTCTAATCAGAATCAAGAAGCTGGAGAAAGAGCAGAGAGAAGATGCTCTCCAGCTGCTAGAAAGAAACCAATGGAAAGATCCACTCAGAAATGAAAGAAAAGTGGGCAGAGAAAGGATTAGGCTGTGCAGCTGCATGGCAGGGCTCAAAATTGGCTGCACTTGTATTCCCAAGGCACAGAAGCTCTTAAGACAGAGCTGACCTCAGATTAGTGGTCTGGTCTCCAGCTTCTGAAGTACATTATATGTTCCTTATTGCCACTAAACAGATATATTGGAGCTCTGCACCTAAAATGAGCCACCAGAAGAGCAGGACAGTGTGAGTCAGACTTGCTCCTCATGAATTTCTGCTGATGCTGAGAGATCTTCGTGGGCAAGAGGAGCTATGTTTGACAGAATCACAAGACGCAGCAAGTTTTCCTAGTTTAGCCTCTGTATCCCAGAGCTCTTAGGCAGGATTTCAGGTGTTTGTACCCTGACCAGCCAAAGCCTTTGGACTTCCCCATGAAACTCCTTTCTCAAGCACAGCTGCACTGCTTATCAAGTCTGACTTTTCAGCAGTTTATCAGATTCAGCCCAAGTTACAGCTTTGTTTCCCCCCAAACAATCTGAGGACACTTTCTGTTGACTCAAGAACAAAATAAAAGTACTGTGACTCCATAACCACTCAACCTGCAGCTGCAGAGCTGTCCAAGCCATAATTGTTCCTTCAGGACCTGGAGCAGCCCTCCAGTAAACACCTAATTACCATGCACAGCACATGCAAAGCAGAACTGTGTTCTTTTTGAGCAGCCCCAACAGGCTTGATTGAAGATTTCACTGTTCTCGAGGAGACCTAATTTGCATGACTTCAGACAGGACTCTGAAACCCTTGTGTGGGAGGCACTGCCTCCTTCCAACTACCCCAGGCATCGAGAGCTGCTCAGCACCCAGAGCAGGTGAAAGAGGAACAGCCTTGGCCAGACTTACGTCAGCCACGGGGATGAGAGTGTCAGCAAGGTGACCAATTCGGTTCTTCCTGTAGAGCCAGGACATCAGCAGGATCCCCAGGGCCACATCAATCAGTAGAGAGACAAAGATGTTGGCTTTCCTGAATGCAGGAGAACGAGAAACAGTGTTAGAGAAAAAGGAAGGACAGTGTTTAATGTTTCAAAGACAACTGTTGGCTTTGCTTACATTGCATCTCTAATGTCCCAGGGACAACAGGACAACCCAGTGAAGAGGAACACTGTAGGGACCTTTTGACCTTCCCTGCTGTGCTGTTCCTTCTGTGTTCAGCCAGGAGAAGGAAGACTGAGGGGAGACCTCATGGCAGTCTGCACCTTCTTCATGAGGGGCAGTGGAGGGGCAGCTCTGATCTCTGCTCTGTGACCAGTGACAGGACCCAGGGAATGGCTGGAGCTGTGTCAGGGCAGGCTCAGGTTGGATCTCAGGAAAAGGTTCTTCCCCCAGAGGCTGGTTGGGCACTGCCCAGGCTCCCCAGGGCAGTGGGCACGGCCCCAAGGCTGACAGAGCTCAAGGACAATGCTCCCAGGGCCAGGGTGGGATTGTTGGGGTGTCTGTGCAGGGCCAGGAGTTGGATGGATGATCCCTGTGGGGCCCTTCCAACTCAGGATAGTCTGTGATTCTGTGATTCTAAACATGGAGCCACTCAGAGTCTGCCACACCACAAAACCTTTTTTAGTAGGGAGCAAAGACTGGATTGAAGCTACAAAGAGGAATGTTAGACTGAAAGGTAGAGATGTACTCAGGGGCATTTACCAATTACCAGCCCTGAGGGCACCAGCACTTAGAGCATCCACGTTGAGATCAGATGGTTTCCCAACTCAAGGCAATAAATAGTGTTTCTGGGTTCATACACAAACCCAGAAGGACTGCTGAGTTCCCCCTTCCCTGCTGGAGTTTCTGAATGAAATTTTATGACGTGAGTTATTCAGGAAATCAGATTAAACAATTGCAGTTACTTTTGGTCTTCAAATCTGCTAATCTATTTTAAGTGTTCCCTGGGAGTCTATTACTGCAGGATCAGAGAAGCACACAGAACAAGACTGGCTGTGGAAGGGCCGCAGGGCATTCAATATCTGTCTCAGATCTCTGCTCTGTTCCACTCACTGTGCTGCATGTTTGCCTTTTCTCTTACACTTTTGTTACTGCCGTCAGAGTTTTTGCAAGAAAAGGTTCCCCAAAAGAGTGGGTGAAAGAAAGGAACATTTAAACCTTTCTGCTCTTATGGAAAGTGCCACTGAACACTGATGGCAGTTTTTGGTTCACAGCAGCACACAGGAAAGCAATGAGTTTGTGGGAGTTGTGAGAGCAAAGCACTCACACATGGGTGCAGGACAAGCTTTTGGGGGGCAATATCCCAGTTACCTTTCCAAGGCTTGGGAAAAAGGAGTAGAGCAAGGGGTGCAGTGATGACCCCATAGTGCTGTGTGAGCATGGGATCCATGGTTTGGGCTCCCCAAGGGAGACAGGAATAGAGCAAAGACACACATGACTTTCCACGTACCCCATACCTCATCAGCTGAGTCTGGGTTTGAGCCTTCTTGTTGCTGCTGATGACCTGGAGGTGCTGCAGGCGATGTCCCAGCTGCTCACAAGTTGAGAGTTTGCTCCATAAGAAAGACAAAGGCCAAAACTTCAGCACCCTGCAGAAACACATGGGAATGTCCCCTTTTGCCTTTGCCATGCAGCAGGCAGGCCAGCATCCCAAATCCATGCAAAACACTCAGTGCACAGTTAAGGCTGTGCAAGCAGAGACGATGATTAGATGTTAAGGACTCTCTGAAAGGTTAACAGAATTAAGGAGCTTTGCCAGACCAAGACATCTAAAGCAGACAAGCCAACCTCCCATTTCCACTCTGTCAAACCACGTGCCTTGCTCTTCCAAGGAAACCACAAGGCAATCCTGATTCCAGCCTGTGCTTTGGGATACATCACTGGGCTTGCACAATGCCCTGAGCCTCCAGCAGAGAGGAGCCAAGGTAGTTTTGTGTGCAGGGCAACAACACAACATGGTGTAACTGCTGCACAGATCCCAGTATTACCAATCATAGAATCACTGAATGGTTTGGGTTGGAAGGGACCTCAAAGCTCATCTCATCCCACCCCCTGCCATGGGCAGGGACACTTTCCACTAGCCCAGGTTGCTCCAAGCCCCGTCCAACCTGGCCTTGGACACTTCCAGGGATGGGGCAGCCACAGCTTCTCTGGGCAACCTGTGCCAGGGCCTCACCACCCTCACAGGGAAGAATTCCTTCCCAATATCCCATCTAACCCTGCCCTCTGGCAGTGGGAAGTCATTCCCCCTTGCCCTGCCCCTCCAGGCCCTTGTCCCCAGTCCCTCTCCAGCTCTCCTGGAGCCCCTTTAGGCACTGGAAGGGGCTCTCAGGTCTCCTTGGAGCCTTCTCTTCTCTGGGCTGAACAACTCCAACTGTCCCAGCCTTTCCTCACAGGAGAGAGGATCACCAGTCTCTGTTTTGTGTGAGCTTGGTATAACAAAGAGCAATGCTCTCTGTGCAGTTTCTGTCCCTTTCCCCCCCTCTTTTTTCTTCCAATTGATCCTTTTTTCTTTTTTTCTTTATTACTTTCAAATTCCTTTCTCAGGGTCTTCATTTCTGCCTTCTCTCCACAGCCTCACAGTGACCAGCATTATGCAGATAACACGACACTCGGCACTTAATTAGGTTTCAAAGTTAACATTCACATGAGGCTTGTAGGGGAGGAAACAGTCACACGGTTCTTTTCTTATGACTCAGAAGAAAAGTACTAAATGATGCTCAATTATTTTGGGGAGTTACTTTTATTGCCACACAACCTACAAAGCAAGGACTGATAGTGCTTTGTGTAGGTTAAAATGACACAGCACTGGGTGCAGAAGCCACAGCAACACAGAGCACCAGGTTTGCTTTGGGGGCTAAACTCTGATGTGGACATGATTTGAATCACTTCTCTCCTGTACATAGTTGTTGTTGCACTATTTTCACAGTGTTTCACTGTTTTCTGTTTAGGGTCCAGGGATCTACATTCACTTTTAGTCACTCCACCTACTCTCCTGGACTGCTTTGTCACGGTCCTGCAGTTCACGTCATTCCACACGCCAACATTATTCCTTGTATCCTGCTTTGCTTTTGAAACTGTAGAGCTGCTTGGATCATTACTGAGCATGACCTGGAGATGTGTGTCCCTGCAAAGTGTGTTTGCCTTCCACGGATCTCACCGGAGGACATCAGCCCACGCCCAGCAGCAGAGTGCCCGCAGGACAGTCTGGGATGGACAGACTATTTATACATTTCACACAGATCACAAGGGTATGGCCCCTCCAAACCCCACTCAGCTCCCCGTGGCTGCTATCCCCTCCTCCCCACACCCCCCTGAGCCCTTCCACCCACCCTTTGTGCAGGGTTTGTCAGCTTGAAAACCCAAGTGCTGAAGTGCCCCCTTCCCCCTCCCTCCCCATTCAGATTTCAGACACATTGGCTTTGAAACACACGCAGTGTTCTGTGAATCATTCTTAATTTGAGGTCTCCAAGTTACTCAGCTCTTCGCTACAGCCTCCCACCTTGGAGACAAACGAAAGCACTGCTCCTCAGCTGCCTTGTCAGAGGAGGGGTGGAGGAAAGAGCTCCGTGCAGGGGCGGGAGAGGGGGGGTCACTGATGCAAAGACCTGGGCTCACAGATTCACAGAGACACAAGAGCAGACGAGCTTTCTCTTCCAATTATGCCCCAGCCCAGCAGTTACAAATTCTGCTGTTGCAAAACTTGACTAGAGCAGAGAATTGCACTTGAAATGCAAAGGAGGGGGAAGGAGAAACACTCTACCTGTGGGATTATGTCCAGATGGCTGAAGGTGAGGAATTACCAGTCAAACCCCAGCTGCCAGACCCTCTCAGCTGAGGCAGAAAGCAGCAGATCCAGGGCCCTGTGCCACACACTCACAGTGACAGTCCCACATCCTCTCCCAGCACTGGGTGTCTCCCACATCCAGGGCTGCTCCCCAAGCAACAGACACACCAGATGGATGTGTTTGTCTGTGCTACAACTGACTCTCTTTTCTTTTCACCCAACACCACAAGGACAACCTCTACTCCACTCACACACCTTCTTTGCAAAGGAAATACACATCCTTATTGAAATAAAAACACAAACATACTGCAAAAAGCTCAACAGAGCAGCTGCAGGATGTGCTACGGGAACTCTCATCTCTAGGAGGGCTGAGGAAGAAAGCCAGAAATATTCCCTGCGTGGTCTCCTACCCCTTTGCACATTGCCAGAAATGCTCCCACTTGTTTACCACCCACTATATAGAATGATTTTCAGAACTTCAATGGAAAACCAACCAGATTGAAAAACCCAACAGAAATCCAGTGACGTTGTGTCATTGCATTATTTAAGCAGCAGGAGATCTTTGGGATATTTCCAAATATAAGGAATTTTAGCAATAAATTAGCACAGCCACCATGAGTAAGTCTTGATTTTCCAATTTAGTTTTTTCCCAGGAGTGAGAGGGGATTTTTCAGATAACAGATGAAAAGTAATCTTTCCAAATCTAGATCACACGCAAATATTAAGCTCCATTAACCAGAACTCCCAGAAACTGCAGGAACAGTGCCTCCCTTTGGATGAGGGATCAGACCTCATGGTGTTTATAAACAGACTTTTTTCACAAGGAGCACACAGAACTTATTGTCCCAAGACAAAATCATCCTGATGTCCCCAAGAGTACAGAGACCTTCAGGGATAATCGGAATCCTGCCCCCAAGTCCCTCTGAAGCAGAATTGCAATGGCCACCCCTCAGCACACGGTGGTGCTGAAGAAATGGCTTAACTCAAGATAAGGGAGCACTGGGTGAGCTTGGACCTGTGTCCTGAGACAGGTCCAAATCCCGAGATTTCCAGCTGCTGCCCTGCTTCTCCTGTGCAAATACACAACAGGGCATATCCAAAAGGTCTGCAGCCCCAGAAGACATTGCTGATCTCTTTCTTTAGCTTTTCAAAGCTGACATCACAAAAAACAGGGAAAGAATGAAGTCCTGTGATCTGAAGGAGCAAAAACCTGGTAAATCTTATTTTATGGGACATCCTGTCCCAGCACGGGGAGGAGGGGACTGGAAGGACACCTGCCCGTGACACCTTGAACCCTCCCTGCCTTGAGGATGTTGGCACAAGGGAGGCTGTAGCACACACCACGTGCTGAGTGGAACCAAATTCCTTTAAATTACTTAGAAAGTTGAGCAGGAGGTTTGTTATAAAGCCAGGTACTAATCTCTGTTCTCTAAGACTGATGCTTTGTAAGATAAGTGAGTATAATGCTGATCCTACGGGTGAATCAAACAGAGAAGAGAACAAGCTGTATCTGTCTCCCAAGCCCAAGAACAAGTTCAGCCCAGGTTTGGGCACAGCCAGCCCCACATTCTGCCTGCTGGCAGGTACAGCTGGCTGCTGCTGTGCCTCAAAACACCCATCCTGGGCTTAGGAAAAGCTGAAGTCAGAATTCCTGAGAAGCTGGGTAGCAGCTATCCAGGCCCAACCAGACTGAGCTTGAGTTCCTGAGTTAGACTGTGGCCTTCTGGGGACCTGTGAGCCTTGAGTTAACCTGACTCTAAGCCTGACTGATCAAGTCAGGACCTTTTAAGACAAAGAAAAGGATCATCCTGTTTGTTGGTGGTGGCACAGCCCATGGACAGCCAGAAAAAGGACCTTCTGGGCTGACTCCCAATCTTCTGCCCAACCACAAAGTTGTGACTTAGTCACCATTAACAGCCACTAACACAGAGTCAGCATCTACAGGGCAGCCCCAGGAACCAGTGTCCTTGATTATATCAGGTTTTGGCCTGATCCTAAATCTCTACCAATAGAATAGTCCAAAACCGGACAGTTTCCCCTTTATGTACCAAAATAGGTAACCCTACTGTTCAGAATGTCTCTGCATGGGAAGAGTTTCACTGTAATTCTTTCACAACAGTATCACACAATTGGAAACTGTTAAAAGCTTCCCTTCCTCCTGCCCTTAGGCTGCACTTGAGAAGATTTATCCATGAATACAGTAGTAGCTGTTATCCAAATTTCATCAATTAAAGTGTCCCCCTGCAGCTTGGAACCAGAACTCCACTCTCCTCCCTCTCCACAGCCTCTCCAGGCAGGCTGACCAGGGCAGTGGTGAAATCACCATCCTTGGAAGTGTTCAAAAAGCACGTAGATGTGGCACGGGGGGACATGGGTTAGTGGTGGCCTTGGCAGTGCTGGGTTAATGGTTGGACTCCATGATCTTTCCAACCTAAATGATTCCATGGTTCTAAACTTCTCCCCTTCAAATCTGCTCAGAATTCCTCATTAGTGCAAGCACTTGCCACATACTACATGTGGATCATCCTAGTCAGTCTCCTGGTTGTGAGAACAGGATTTCACCAAGGATTCATGCACAGCAGCAATCCCTGTGACCTGCTATAAGGCGCCAAGGCTGCAGCACCACAGTCTCTCGGAGGACAATGGATTTAGAAATACTATTTGCTGACGTTTGACAGCTGTGGAGGGATTCACAGCAAACAGGGAGGAGGGAGTCCCAGCTGTGAAGCCATTAAGGAGAGGCTCACAGCATTCTGTCAGCCATGGAATAGCTGGAAATCCACTGGCCCAGCTGTGATGAAAGTGAAGTGGGGCTGCTGCAAATGCCTCCCCAGAAACCCAACCCATGAAGAGTCCTATCTGAGGGAGCCTTTGGCCTTGTGATTTCAGTGGGGCTCCCCAAACTCCAACAGCAGCCTGCTTCCAACAGAACCTTTTGTATCAACCATATTTCTCACTGGGGCTGAGCAGAAATCCTGTAAATGCCTAAATTACACTTCCACACAAAACAAGCTGGCTGATATCACATCACTTACCTGCTCCTGCAGATCCCAGAGACCAGTGAGAGCAGGAATGTGAGGAGCATGCAGGCAGGCACAGAGGTCTGTTTGAGCAGCTCCACGATGATACTGGCCTCGACCCCCTCCGACTGCCAGTGGGTCAGCTTGATGGGCCCCTCGTCGTACCTGTCGGTCATGAACAGCACCCTGCTCCTGGCCACGGTGTCGAAGATGGCAGAGAGCTTGGAGGCATCCTCTGCCCTCCCATCACCTGTGTCCAGAGGGGGGTGCAGATGGGAGAGCATAACTTTGCGCTGGTCATAGTACACCAAGATGACTTCTTCCTCCTTAGGGCTGCTGGAGTGTTTCTGAAGGGTAGAGCAGCTCCAAAACTTGCCATCTCCCTCTTTGCTTATCTGAATCCAAGGTTCATGGGAGAATATGGTCCCAAGGTCTTCCAAGAACTCGCTCAGACCCTCCTCTTTCTCCTGTTTGCTGTTGCTCCAGGAGCCGAGCACAGAAAGGCTGACTTTGGTCAGGTGCTGAACTTGCCCGAGGTACTGCTTCACCTGCACAGGGATGAAGGGGAAGTGCACCACGGCCAGGACAACGGCAGAGCTCTGCTCCGACAGCCAGCGGCCGATCAGGATCCCGCTGTCTGCCGAGGAGCAGCACGATGGGAAGAACACCTTGAGTACCATGGCAGGGACCCTGGAGGGACGGGACACCTGCAACAAACACAAAAATAAAAGCTGAGAATGGCGAGTAAATGCAAGAAAATCTGAGCTGGCCAAAGTCACCAGGGAGGAGAACCAAGCAGGTTTGAAAACACTGCCCAACCACTTGTGTAAGGACAGTGACAGCCATCAGACACACACACGTTCAGGAGGTTCCTGATGATCTGCAGTCTTTGAAGTGAGGAAAGGTGAGCCTGGAGTCACCTTTTGTGAGTCCTGGAAAGGTCTTTCACTGATAAGCACAGCGCACCGGACCAGAAAAGATCAGGAATTCATTCAGCCTCGGATCTTAGATCCCCAACTGGATGTGCTGGAGCACTTCTAGAGTGCACCATGGTGTCTCTGGGGAGTATTTCCTGCTATTACCAACAATCAAATATTGATCCATGCCATAAAGCCAGATAATTTCAGACTCTCTTTTATCACCTCAGAACCCAGAGCTGTGCTCTGCAAAAACTCACTGAGCAACCTTAGTCGGATCACTCAGCTCCTCTTGCCTCACTCACCTACCTCATCTGGAAACTGCAACAACAATTTTATCAAAAGGGACTACAGTGATTAATTGAAGTTTGTGCAGCAGTTTTAATTCATTAGACACAAGAGCCTAAAAATGGAGAAGCCTCTCCACTTTATCAGTGCTCTTTATCTCCAGTGTTTTTCTCCCCATCATTAAGAACACATCTCAGTGGCTTTGGGAGACTCTTCCCAAAAGGAGCTTTGAGGCAGTTGACAGTGTCTCTTTAAATAAGGTGGAGGTTTCTAACAGAGCTGTAATTGCAGTAAGGAGGGCGCTGGCGCAGAACAGTCGCACCCGGCGCCCGTTGTCCTTTGCCGTCCTTCAGTGCTTTGTTAGGGATGTGAAAACTCCGCAGGGCCCCGAGGCTGCCTCCTCTGCAGGACCCAGTCAGTCGGAAAGGGAACACAGAGGGTATTTATAACACGGACAGAGGATGCGCAGGAAGGCCCTGATGGCTTTGTTTTCCTCGCCGTTAATGCAGGACAAGGGAGTCAGTAAATCTCAGCACCTGGGAATTTGCTACGGTGTGGAGGGATGGGGAGCAGCAAAGGAGAGTGATTAACCTCTGGGGTTAAAACTCAGAGAAGGGTAATTTGGGGAGCTGCAGCTGCCCCATCCCTGGAAGTGTCCAAGGCCGGTTGGATGAGGTTGGAGCAACCTGGGATAGTGGCAGGTGTCCCTGCCCACGGCAGGGGTGGAATGAGATGGGCTTTAAGGTCCCTTCCAAACTTACCACTCTGGGATTCTACAATTCCTCCAGTCCCCCAGCCCCAGTACAGCACTTGGAAATGTAGAAGTTCTCAGCTCCTTGAGCAACAAGGTGAGGTTCCCTTGGTGCACAGCATGGTCCTCCGATGGGAAAAGCACCACAGCTGCCTTTGCAAGGAGTAATGTTGTTCTTCCTTGGACTGAATTTTCCCTTTTACTGCAAAACAGCAAAGCACCCCCAAAACTTCCCTCAAGCAGACATAGGGGTGCTCCTGAGGGATTTTATTGGAGCGTGGTGCTGGAAGCACAGTGTTGGCAGGTGCTGAGGGCACCCAGCACCATCCCTTGCTGCCCCACAGACCCTCCAGCCCCTGGTGAGATCTGGAGGCCACAGAGGGATAACCTTGGAGACCTGGAGTCTGTGAGGAAGCAGGATCTCAAAAGAATCATAGAATCACGGAATGGTTTGGGTTGGAAGGGAATTTAAAGCCCATCTTGTTCCACCCCCTGCCATGAGTGAGGACACCTTCCACCAGACCAGGTTGCTCCAAGCCCCGTCCAACACTTCCAGGGATGGGGCAGCCACAGCTTCTCTGGGCAAGTGATAGAACCTCAACTATTATGTGTTTTCCCAAAGGGTTTCAAGCCTCCAGCAGGAGGGAAGGGAAGCAGAGAGCTGTGTGAGGGAGGGCAGAAGTGGCAGCTGTGACGTCCCGAGGCTGTCGGGGTGCAGCACACCAGGCCTGGGCAGGACAGAGACCTGCAGCACAACCTAAAAATGGCATCTTTCACCAAAGCCTCGTGACTATCACACCCAAATGGACTGAAAAACAAGACTTCAAGTTCATTTTTCACTTCTCTGGAAATATAGGGAATAGCTTCTACGGAAAGAGGTATTTTTGGTGTTATTTTTCTGGAGGACCATGGAGACGTCGAAGGACACATGTCCTATCCAGAAGTGGTGAAACAGACACAATTAATTAGATTAGTCCTTAAAATAGTTTGAAATAAAACCTGTCCCCTATATTTCGCCTTCCTTCCCTTCAGTATCCCTGGTTTGTCCAGGAATACTGGCCAAAGTAGTGCTCCTTTCACCGCCTCTCATGCCTTCTTGCTTAACTCAGGCTGTTAAGGAAACATTGTCAGGTGAGATGATGTTTTGCTTTAGATTTGCAAAAGGATTCTAATTCTTTTCCCCTAAGACCCACAGACATACTCCCAGGAAAAAGGAAATAAATTATGTAAATACAGGGGGTCTGAAAGGCAAAACAACAGATTGAATGTGTCAGGAATGTACATACACACATATGCTCAGACACTACTTAAAATAATATAAATTTAGCTAGTGATAACATTCTAGTTATATCACAGTACCAAAACCTTGTAAGTGAAGTTGCCCATAGCTGAATACTCTAAAAACTGAAATTGAGTTCCATTTTTGAAAGAAAAAATAGAAAAATTAAAAGAATAAGTACTTGAAGGGGGTTTTCAGTACTTATATCAGTAATATTGGAGAGGTAAGCTTTTAAAGTTGATTTTTTAATTGTTCTTTTACCTCAAGAGATGTCAGAGGTGTTTGAGCGTATCCCTACAAGAGACTTCCAGTGTCTCTGCACAGCCGACCTTAAAGCTTTGTCCATCCATTGGACATTTGGAAGAGGAATTGTCTACTGACTCTCAATACAAACATTTACTTTTCACTGAGATTTTTTTTTAAGATGGCCACAGTCATCTGGGAAAACTTCTCATGGAGCAGAAACACTTATCCTTATCTTCTCTATTTTGGGAGTTTTTCCTCTTACATCTTTCCCAACTTTTTAAATTAATATCATTTTATGCACCCAACTAATCTGGCTATAGCTCAGGTCAAATCATACCCTAAGCACATCATCTGCCCTTTGGCTGCTGCAGAGAAGATTCTGATACAATTTTCAGGCTGTACAAAATATCTTGATAGTTGAAAACCAGCTGATCAACTATTCTTACGTTACTGTGGTTTGTATTCCCAAATCCACAACTGGCTAGGTATCCCACCTCATTCATTTCAATAGACTGAAATATAAAGTTCACCTCTTAAGTGTCATCACAGTCAATTGTTTTCACTGCTGCTAATTTGAGCAGAAAAATCCTACCAATGTGCTTAGTCCCTGTTCATAAAGTGCCTAAAATCTTCCAGATCCACCCATTCCTGCTGGAAACCCCCAGCTTTTCCCTGAGATGCCGCAGAGCATCAGCAAACGATCTCAGGCGACCAAAACAAAAACTGGACACCACCTAAAATGTGTTAAGGTGACCAAAAAATAAAGACAGGACCCCAGGATGAATTAATTTCAGAACTTTTGTCAGAAAAGCAAAGGTGAACAGTGGGATGTGGCCCAGGTGTCACCACATGAGCTATCCTGTGGCCACCAGCAGAGCCAAGGGGTGCTGACCCTGGGTCAAACCCACACCTGAGCACTCCAAGGTCCTTCCAGGGGGTGAGGGAGAGCAGGCCAGGAGATACACAATCATAGAAACATAAAGGTTGGAAAGCCCTCCAAGACCGTCGAATCCAACCATTCCCCCAGCACTGCCAAGGCCACCACTAACCCATGTCCCCAGGTGTCACATCCACACGGCTTTTAAATCCCTCCAGGGATGGGGACTCCACCTCTGCCCTGGGCAGCTGTGCCAGGGCTGGACAGCCCTTTCCATGAAGAAATTTTCCCAATATCCAATATAAAAATCTCCTGGCACAGCTTGAGGCCGTTTCCTCTCCTCCTGTCCCTTGTTCCTTGGGAGCAGAGCCCGACCCCCCCCGGCTCCCCCCTCCTGTCAGGGAGCTGCAGAGCCAGAAGGTCCCCCCTGAGCCTCCTTTTCTCCAGGCTGAGCCCCCCCAGCTCCCTCAGCTGCTCCTGCTGCTCCAGCCCCTTCCCGAGCTCCGTTCCCTTCTCTGGACACGCTCCAGCCCCTCAGTGTCTCTCCTGCCGTGAGGGGCCCGGCAGTGCCCCCCGCCCACGGCTCCCCCGGCTCCCCCCGCAGCCCCCGGCCCGGCCGGGCCCGCCCCGCTCCTACCGCCCGCCCGGCGCCGCCGCTTCCGCCCGCGTTGCCCGGAGACGCGGGAGCCGCGGGGCCCCGCAGGGAGGGCCCGGCCGCCGCCGCCGCCCGCCGCCCGCGTTCCGGGGCCCTCGGGGCCCGGCTGTGCCCGCTGCCCGGGAGGGCCCGGCTGTGCCCGCTGCCCGGGAGGGCCCGGCTGTGCCCGCTGCCCGGGAGGGCCCGGCTGTGCCCGCTGCCCGGGAGGGCCCGGCTGTGCCCGCTGCCCGGGAGGGCCCGGCTGTGCCCGCTGCCCGGGAGGGCCCGGCTGTGCCCGCTCCGCTCCCCGCGCTCCTCCCGGCGCCTTTCCCGGGCCGGGGAGCGGCGGGGCCGCCTGGGACGGGCGATAAGGGCTGTCGGCGTGCCCGTCCTCCCCTGGAGCGAGGCCAGGGGCTCGCATGTCCTCATGGGACCCCCCTGCCCCCGATCCCACAGCCCAGGGACTCACCTGTCCTCACCAGACCCTGTCGTCCTCCATCCTCCCCGGCCAGAGGCTCGGCTGTCCTCATGGAACCCAGTTGTCCCCCATTCCCACATGCCAGAGGCTCACCTGTCCTCACAGGACCCCGTCATCCTCTGTTCCAAAAGTCCAGGGACTCACCTGTCCTCACGAGACCCCAATGCCCCCCATCCCACAGGGTTCTCCTGTCCTCATGGGATCCTGTTGTCCCCATCCCACAGGTGAGGGACGTCCTTTTCTAATGTGGGACCCTGATGTCCACCATCCCCAAAGGCCAGGGACTCGCCTGTCCCCACAGGACCATGTTGTCCCATGTCCCCAGAGGCCAGAGGTTTGCCTGTCCCCATGGGAGCCCCTTGTCTCTCATCCTCAAAGGCCAGGGACTCGCCTTGCCAAGCGGGACCCTGTTCACCCTCATCCCCAAAGTCCAAGGACTTGCCTTTCCTCAGGAACCCTGTTGTCCCTCATCCCAAAGGTCAGGGACTTGTCCATCCCCATGGGACTCTATTATCCCCCACTCCCACAGGCCAGGGGCTGTCCTGACAGGACCCCTTGACTCCCACCCCCAGCACCTCAGCAGCTCCCTGGCCTGGCAGAGGCCCATGAGTGCAGATGGGTGCCCGGGAGCTTCCCTCCTGTGACCCAGTGGTGGGTTGGGGGCAGCGAGCTTGGGAAGACTCTGGGCAATGTGAGGGGGTCTCACATGAAAAGGGAAAGTGGGTGTGGAGGTGGAGGTGAGCTGGAGAAGAGGTTTTGGGGGTTTATTTTTGTTGTTGAGTGCCACAGAATTGGAAATAAGGTGGGGGAAGGTTTGGTTTTCTGGGAGCTCAGCTCCCTGGGATGGGACAGGCTCATCTCCATACCTGCAGACCACACAGACAGGCCCCTTCCCTATTGCTGGGTTTGCTCTGGGGCTGCCTCATTCTACAGGGAGAGGAGTCTGGGAGGGCACCATCTTCAACATCTTCAGTGCTTGTTCCAAGGCCAGGAAGGAGCAAGGCCCTCTCCAGGGATCGTTTGGGGTGAGAGGTGGTGACTGGACTCAGGTCTCAGACATCAGCAGAGGCCAAGGAGCCGTTCAGCACCATGTCCAAACTGAGGGCTGCAGATGGGAGAGGAAAACGCCCTTCCCTGTGCCACCACACCCTACCCGCCTCTCCCTGGTCTCTGCCGATAAGGGCAGTGGCTCCAAGCTCTCCTCCACAGGGGATAACAGACAGCCCAGCCCGGCAGTCTCAGCCCCGGGACAGGGGGCAGTGCGAGCAGTTCCACGTTCCCATATGGAATTTACTCTGTGCAGTGGTTGTTGCTTCCCTGTAGAGGTCAGGAATGCAGCACAGAAGGAGTTCCCTTCATCCTACCCTTCTCCTGAAGTCTGTTACAGACCCAGCGTGCCATTCTGTGATTCCAAAACTTTTCCTAATATCCTGGGGATGAGTTAGTACAGACCAGTTGTCTCAACCATGCAAGGCTGGACAGGGCTTAGAGCAACCTGGTCTAGTGGAAAGTGTCCCTGCCCATGGCAGGGGGTGGAATGAGATGGCCTTTAAGGTCTCTCCCAAACCAAACCATTCTGTGATTCCATGATTCTCTGGCAGGCCACGGCTGCCAGCTCTGGCCTTACCACTCTGGTCATACTCTGGCATCAGGAAGGTGGAACCATGATACATCAAAACAGTGTGTGGGGAAGAAAAATATTCATATTAGCTTTGCAAAAACACACAAGGATTTGAGAGTGTGGTGGTAAATTTGCCAAGCCACCAAATCGTGGCCAATTCTGAGTAGCCTGGTCATCCTTTAGCTACTCTGGTGCTGGTTTAGCTGCTCCAGAGTTGGTCTAGTCCTTGATTCTGCCATCTGGAGAAGCTGGGAGCCATCAGGAGGTCAGGTCTGGGGCAATGCTCTGCATCCGTGGAAGCGTTCAAGGCCAGGAACTTGGAGCAACCTGGTCTAGTGGCAGGTGTCCCTGCCCATGTCAGAGGGGTTGGAACAAGATGAGCTTTAAGGTCCCTTCCAATCCAAAACATTCCATGATTCTATGATATGATTCTGTGTGAAGGAGATGGAGCTCACAGCCACCACTAGACCCACAGCTCAGCTGGGCTGCAGTGGAGCCATCCTCCCTCCCCTCCTGGGTGTTTGGTTGGGGTGACCACCAGGGTTGGTGGGATTGTAAGGGGGTCTCACACAGTACTTAAAGACTTTGACACAGTTCTCCCCCGTGTCTGCCACAAAGAGGTGCCCGAAGGGGGAGCAAGCCATGCCAGCAGGCCTGCGCAGCCCCATGGACACCAGGCAGACGGGAGCCCCATGCTCTGGGAACAAGTGGACTGTCCGGCGCTGCTCGTCTGCCACCAGGATGCTGCCATCCCTATCCACACACACCCCAGCGGGGTTGCCAAACTGGTGTCCATATTTGCTGCTGAGGGAGCAGAGGAGCTTGTGGCTGCTCGTGAAGACCTTGGCGTCCCCACACTCCTCACTCACCACAAAGCCCCCGTCGGGCGCTGGGCTGACATAGCGAGGCCCCTGCAGGTCAGGGACTGAGTGGACCTGGAGTGTCTTGAAGGCGTGGTCCAGAGCAAAGCTGTGCACTTGGCCTTGGGCATAGTCTGCTACCAAGATCTTGCCCATGGAGTCGACTCCAATGCCCCTGGGGGAACCAACCTTTCTGATCTTTATCCATTCCCTCTTGGAGAGGCTGGTGTGAGGGTTGAAGGCCCAGATGGCTTCATTCACCATGTCGGCCACAGCCACCATTCCCGTGCGAGTCACAGTCACATCTTCTGGCAAGAAAGTGCCCTTCCCCCTTTGCTGGCAGGGCAGGGCCTGCAGCGTGTGGCCTGTGCTGGAGAGGACGTGGACCCAGGGAGCGTTCTCGGCTGTCAGGTAGATGGAGCCATCCGGGGAGCAGTGGATTCCACGGACACCCCCATAGCGGCTGCCGGTGGGGTTGGGGATCTGCCGGACCAGGTTATCCTGGCAATAGTGGAGGAGGTTCTTGATGTTGTCCAGATCTCCACACAGACTTTTGGCCTTATCTTCCAGCTGGTGGACTTGGTGCTGTGTCACCATGCCCATGCTGGGCTGGCTGCTCAGCAGTGGGCTGGCTGTCTGGAGAGTGGCAAATGACTTCAGCTGGAGGCTGTAGATGGTTTTCAGCAGCTTCTCCTTTAGCTGGCTGGTCTCCAGCGTGTAGTCCATGACAAATCTCTTGTCCCTGTTTGGGGGAAGCAGGAGGACCATGACTGTCCCTGCCTGTTGCCATCCCTGGGGATACACTAAGGCGTTTGCTGCCTACCCAGGGTCAAGGTGTAGACACTGGTCTGGATTAACTTCAGTGCCAAAGAAACCACATCACTGTAGTGCCAGCTAATTATGTGCTCGGGACATAAAGACAAACAAGGACATTGGCATGAAAATGAAAGAGTCATCAAGCTGGATCTGCAGCTGGAGGAACAGCCAGAAAGGTCCATTGGCTTCAACGACAGCTCAGCTGGTGTCAGATGTGGCCTGAGGATTTTTGTGTAAAGGTGAGTCATGTGTGAGCACATTGAATGGCATCTCTACCTCTCTGGTTCCTCAGATTAGTGGCTTCTCTCAGGTCTTTAACACCTCTTAACCCTATTTTCTGTGAGCCTCATCTCTCCAAACCATGTTCATTCACAGAATCACAGAATATTCTGAACTGGAAGGGACTCACATGGATCATCAAATCCAACTCCTGGCCCTGCACAGACACACTAATCAGTGATGGGAGCCTGGCTCTGCTGTGTTCCCAGGGCCTGGCTGGAGCACAGCTTGTAGCCAGCAAGGGAAATGTGGCCTCATTAAAGCTCCTGGGGAGGCAGAAGTTCACTTTGTTTTAAATGTGATTATAATTAATATTATAATGGGCACACTTGGCTGTTTTGAGTTGTTTGCAGGCTGTCACTCCACTTTTATCGCCCCATGTCCCATGATTGCCTGGATCATGTGCTCTGTGCTGCCTGCAAAAGGGACATTTTCCCAAACCACAGCTGAAGGAAGCTAAGGCATACTCTGCCAAACAGTCCTTTCCATGTGCAAATCCCACAATTA